CCCTCTTGTACACGGTCGACTGAAACCATCAACATTTGATTGCAAAACATCCTAGTTTGAGCCCGCACTGCAAATGAATGGGATGAACAACAAAAAGTAACTGCATGGGTAGGTACTGCCATTACGAGGAAAGGAATGCAAAATTCTTCAGAATATTTGTGAATATGAGCTCCCGAAGACTGCACTAATTAAAATAATACTAATGCCTCTAATATCCACAATATAAATCAGCAAGCAAAACAATACAACACCACTCACAAAATGGAAAAAAAGTTGCTTTAGTATTTGCGAGTGAATTTCTTCTTCTTGAAAATGTCAATTTCAATAAATAAATATTCTTCCAATAGAAACCCTCCTATCAAATAAGCAGAGTCCAATGTCCACTTATACCGGTCTATAGACATTAAAAATGACACGCTGACCGTGGAATCAACCATACAAAATTTATTCATCTTTGATATACTACCTTTTTTTTTTCCTCTTCTCAATGGAACAAGAGCTGAATGAAAAGATATGCTTGTTTCTCTTATTTCTTTCTTCTGGCCACTGGGACATGTGGGTGGCGACCGCATATGAGTAATTTATGTGATTCTGCTGACCGCTTTTGGGATTTAAAGCTATTATTTCGTTCGGCATGCATATAAGTTTTTCACTGTTGTGCGTTTTTGATTTTATTTTCTTTAAATAACTTTTGAAAAATCTTAAATTTTAACTTTCTAAATAGGTAGGTATGGTCAAATCGATTTAACTGGAGCAAAATCGTCAGTCATAAAATTCTCTTCGTTGTGTGTCTCATAAACAGAACTTTTTTATTAGCAAAAACTTAAAACTTTCAAAAACGCTGCTCTGAAGCGAGAATCTTTTTCCCTGCAGTTTGACCAGGATCACTACTTTCTAAACCCAAATAAAAATTAGCAAAATGATGAAAGTATTTCATTTTCAATCACATCTTCATTCCATTATAACGATGCAATCGACTGCAATAATTAAACGCAAAAATCAACAAAATAAAAGCATTTAGGTACTTTTAAATTTCGAACCGACAATCTTCAAAAATTTATTGGTATTGACAACCCTATTAGGGGGACAATCTATTTTGCAACCGATGAAGATTTCATTGTGCCCAACTTAAATACCAATGACAGTTTCGGGTATTTATGCATGTGGTAAAAATTTGAAACATCCAGACCACACACAAAATCTGTTCTCATATTATTTCGCAATAAATCAGTCAAGTTGCATTTTAAAATGGTTCAGTTTCATTGATGGTACAAAAGGACATTTTACGTGCTCGGTTGTGCCTATCCTTTTCAATGGGGATCATGAAAGGCAATAAAAGATTTCAACCGCAATTCAATTCAATTTGTGAATAGATAAGTATTTTTGCATTATTTACATTTACAAAATTGATTTCGAAACTTTATTGGTGGCTTATTAAAGATTTAATAATAATGGAAACAAACTTTTGAATTTTGCTTCATTGGAAAAGGGTCTTTAAAGTACTCATCAGGTTTATTGAATTAATTAAATTTTCCAAGACCAGTAAAAAAACATGCACACTATTGTTGTGGGTGGTTTCATTCATAATTTTTCTCCGATACCCCTGGTATTGTTAGAATATTTTGATGGCCAGACAAATTTGTATCATTTATAATAAAAAAAAAAAAAACATATAAAAGGCTTTCGCGTTTTGAAGGTTCGAGTTGATATAAAAGATATGCTATTAATGCCAGAAATTGATGGTCAGTTATAGGCGTAACCGATGTCAGAGAGTTTTATTTGCTGAGAGAAACTGTTGATAAAAGCTAATAAGATTTATGATGGGAATTGGTATTAACTTATTGGATTTGTGGGTTCGGGGTTAGCAGCATTTGGCATTTAGAATTGCCCATACTAAAAAATGCTATTGGAGATTGTATTATTTATATTATTTCAGCATTCTTTATAGGTACGGTATCAGATGTTATTTGTCGTTTTTTCTATACAACCCTGATCATTCTTAGTGCTTACTTTATCTCTCACGCCAACTTGTTGATATGCTAATCTAACCATTTTCTCTACTAGCTACTTTTCAAAAATTAATTTACTTTTTATCTAAGACAATAACACAAAAAAATGCTTGAAAATGCCAATATTTGACATGGATCTAGCCATCGCTCCATCAGATAAAAATGGTTCATCACGACATCCAGAAAACAGCTTTCAATGTGAAGAACGGACACTGCGAGTTTGTGAGTAAGTAGGTTAGTCTTTTGATCTTACCCAACAAACACAGTACGTACTGAAGACGTACATTTTAGGTCCTTTTTACGTCGGTTCGTCCGGGATGTAAAAGTACGTTTTGAGTACGTACGTAAAAAGCTGTATTAACATACGGACAAAAAAGTACGTACTAAGAACGTACGTGAAAATCTATATTGCGTACGTCTTGTAGAAGACGTACATGTTCGTTTCAAAGACGAACAATACAAGACGAGCTGGATCATTCCCATCTATTCATGATTTTTTTATCAATTCCTGATCATAATATATTTTTAAATAATATGCAATTTCCGAGCAGAATATACGGAAGCCTTCCAAATTAACCTCTAAACCCTACTAAACCAAATGTATGTGAACCCAAATGCAGGCTGACGTGGATTCCTATTATTAAACCTTAAATCTAAACTTAAATAAATAAGAATACATTGTCATTATAAATGTTTTGTGAGGCAGGTCATATAATCAAGGATTTATAGTTCATTTAGGTACCTGACCTAAATAAATGGTCGAATGTTTAAAATAAACATGAAATGAACCAAGAAATAAACCAATGAGTGGAAAACAAGGGACGCCGCCGTTTCGGTCGCTTGGCTACGGCAGGGTGCAGTGTGCACTGGGTGCAGTGTTGCCAATGACCCGATAATTATCGAAATCTACCATAATTTTGACTACGATTCAATATTCAATAATCAGAAGCTAAATCTACCATAAATTATTGAAACTACAATTTCAATGCATATTTTTAAAATTTTTAGTTGAAAATTAAAAATTTATTTGGTTGGTGGTTTTGACGTACTGCTGGGCGCACACCAAACATTTACCAACTAGAAATGAGTTGAGCTCGCAGCACCGTTTCTTTTTCGTTAATTTTTTCGTTAGAAAAATATAAATAGAGATTAGAGATGAAAGTCAAAAAAATTGACACAAACTTCTTCTGATAATTTTGAATTTGACATCTGGCAACACTGGCAGGGCTCATCATTTTGATATGACGCCGTGCTTGAGTTGTTCCTGTTTGATTTTGCCTTTTTACCTCTTGTGTTTGTAGCTCGTTTGTAGTCTGTTTGTAGAGTGGTGTGAGGACTGTGAGGTTTTGTTTTCTTCTATTTTTGTTTTTTTTTGCCAAATCAAGTGACGCGAGAACCATTTTGTATTGATTGCAGCAACGCCGAAACTGTGGTTTAAGTGTTTAGCTTGGCAGCTTCGCGGCTTGGCTATACCAATTTACTATGTATTTTGTGTGTATAATAATACTTTTAACCAATATTATTACTGTGTGAAACTTTTTCTGGTTTATGCCCCTTTACAATTCTCTATATTATTATGTTTGTAGAATACCTATCTATTTCTGTATATTTTTTTTAGGTTGGAATTTTTCTTCACTTTTCCTTCATTTTTTTTGTTATATTAGGTAGGTATGTACTGTTGTTCAATAAGGTTAAGTTTAAGAGTATGGTATATTTGATATTGTGTTAATTTTTTTCAGTTTTTTAGTGTTATTGTTGAGGCATTTATTGAGTATGAAAATTGTAACTTGAAAATACAATAAATATTTATATGGTTTTATTTTTCACTATAAAGATACCTACACATAAATACGTACCTCGTACCTCTATGTTTAGGGTTTTCTCCATATATTTTTGCACCCCATCTGGACAGGTTAAATGAATAGGTATCAAAAAGGTGTAAATATAACATTTTTATTTACATATTTTTGATACCTATTCAATCAACCAGTTCTGGTAAGGTGCAAAAAAATATATGGGAAAACCCTGTACGGCCCAAACACATTCCTAAAAAGCTATATTAAATACGTACGTTAATGTACGTCCCCAACACGTACCTAAAAAGCCGTACTGAGTACGTCCCTGAATGTACGTACGTGGGACGCACTATTTTGTGGAAAACGATCGTCTTAAAGACGTCCCTCGTACGTCGGCGGGACCTAAAAAGTACGTCCCCGGACGTACTTTCGTCCGAAAAAGTACGAATTATGGACGTACTAAAGACGTACTTGTGTTTGTTGGGTAAGAACGCTCCAGCAAACTTTCCAGAAAGTTATGCCCTATAGTATTGAGGCATTATCTAGATTTCAAGGGGAAATTACTAGGCTTTATGAAAAATTTAACCTACTCTTCGAGGCTCTAATTATTAATATTTTTAAAATTCAATGCGAAAGGTAAAGGATTTTTTCCTATATGATACCTACACGTTTCCAAATTATTATCACCGACTCTTGATTTGTTGTATAATGTTTCCAAAGGCCAGTCAGAAGCGCAAATGTCCGAATTCCACTTTTTACAAGCTAATATTTTACTGAACAATTTTTCTAGGGGCTGCATTTGCATCTAACAGTCCGTAAAGATGACTCGGAGTACTCAACTTATTTCAGATCATCCTTATCTTCATATGTGTTTGTATTACTGATGTTATTATTTTTCACTTGCGCAAAAAAATTCATTAGGACAATGTAGGTATTATATTTCTTATAGCGTGCGGAACGCGCCGTATCAATTTCGTTGTCGCGTCGGTTTCTATGGAAATTCAATAAACATCCCCAGAAGTTACCCTTCAAACAAACAGTCTAGTTACAGCACCAATGATATTTCCACAGAACTAAGCTAAATTAAAATTCCTGTTCGAATTCTAAATCCAAATCCAAAATGTCGTCATTGGACTATTCCCAGCGAAATTTAGTGCATGTCCCAGAAGAGATACTGCAGACGACCAACTTGAAAATGCTTTTCCTCGAAAAAAATTTCTTAACGAGGTTACCTAAGAACTTCTTCCATGAATTGAGAAACCTTAAGTGGCTGGATTTAAGGCATAATCGATTGGAAGAGCTGCCCAAAAGCATCGCTCATCATGAGCATTTGGAACATTTGCTGCTCACAAATAATAACATACGAAAATTGCCAAATGAGCTCGGTAAGTTTGTTTTTTTTTTCTTTTGGAAAATTCAAAATATCTTTAAACATGTTGTAGGATTAATGCCAAATTTGATAGCACTACAAGTTGCAGACAATCCACTTATTTATCCAAGTAGAAAAATAATAAGAAATGGAACAAGAGCAATTATTAGATATCTCTGTGAAGAATTTCAAAAACAGAAAGATTATGAAGCACAAGACAACAAGTTGGACCAACAACTAACGGAATTTTCAGAAAATGCTGGGAACACTAATTCCAACGGTCCCATTTTTGAATCAGATGAGAAGATAACCGGACGGATGCAACAAGAAAAACTAATAGAGGATCGGAAAATAGACTTCAATTCCTATTATGAGAAAGCTCCAATAAGTGCAGCTGATGATGGACGTAAGCTCGGCATTATTTAATGCTATATGATACTATTTCGATCATTTAAAATCTTTCTAGATAGGAATATTTTATATTTATATTATATTAGGTACTTAGTTCCGTAAAAAAATTAATAAATATTCCTACAGCAGGAAAAGTTTTCGACATTTCCACATCAACCAAAAAAAAACGCCATCATAAAAAAAAACTAGATAACCACGGAAGTTATGGTTCAGTCTTGCGTGTAAAGAAAATTGAGCCTCCAAATAAGAATTCACCATCAGAGGAACTAATCCAAATTTCTCATAAAAGCTCTACCTCCAAGTCAAAAGTCTCAGTTCAATCGAGTTTAATTAAAGGAGGCAATACGAAGAGTGATCGGCAAAACACTTCTGAAAACTGCCTTAAGGATGAGTGGTTGAATAGACTCAGGGGCATGTTGAATGATCAAGAACGAATTTTGCAGCAAGAGAGGTAAGAAGGTCGTTTTTTTCTTTTTTCCATATGCCAGTCTCTTGTCCGGTCAATCAATATTCATCGACATTCAAGGCATTCAGAAATACAGCCCTAGTCAGGAATAGACGCACTTCGACTTTGATTTAAATTATTCCAACCAGGAACCATCTTATTCTAACTAGCCACAGATTCAATTATTACTCTGAAATTTTACATACAAAAAATAAAATACTTCAACTCAGTTTCAGTTCTCCTTAAATTCAAGTATGCCATCCAACGTGAATCACCGTTGTATATGTATACAGGGCCGTGCATAGGGGGGTGCGGCCGGTACAAATTACCCGAGTTCCGTAGGGGCCCGCCATCTCGAAAGAAAAGTTTTATGGTTGAAACTATTTTTTTTTTTTCAACTGATTTTCACATATACCCACAGTGTTTCAGAAAAGCTGGTCATGGTCCAACTCCCTTTTTTCGAATGGAATACCCTATACTCGACCCTATATATTATTGAATATTCGGATTCTATGTAAAATTCTGTGCAGATTTCATGTGATATACCCTATCATCTGTTTTGAGTGTTTTGGAAATATTGACATCAGTTGAAAATTAACTTTTTTCTATGAGTATTGAATAATATGCGTAATATACATCCATTTTCTATTGATCAATTTGAATGATTACTCAAAGAGTGAGTTTTTTTTTTTCATTACTTGATTGTTTTCAACCAATGAAAATATCCTGGTCTCAGTAGTCCACTATTTAAGAGCCAATCAGAAAATTCGACAAGTTGACAACATACTCAGAGATACAACATACTTCAACCCTATGCTTCAACCTTCCAATCGGTCATTTTGACAGCTGATTTGGACAAGACTTGTGCTAACCTAACCTTACTTTGTCCTCCTGCTGTCAGAATTGTCAATTAATTTTGTTAGGAGAATTAAATAAAAAATAGCATCTCGTGCTATTCACAATACCCGTCTAGTAATCATAGAAAAAGTATATCTAGTATTCAACTCGTAGGTAATGGCTATTACTTACTCACTCGGATGATTACACTACTCGCCTGCGGCTCGTAGTGCAAACTTCATCCTTCGTGAGTAATAGCCATCATTACCCGCTCGTCGAATAATATACTATTTTTGCAACTTTAACAGGCTGTAAAACCTAGACATTTAATTTAAGAGCAAACCCGTTACATTCATAAACCATCATTTAACACCAACTTTAAATTTAACCGGAGATTATATTTAATTAGAATTTTGAATCATGTAGGGCCGATACTTTTGATCTTGATAACGAATTTGACAAGTCATTGAATTCATAGAATATTAAATTTAACAAGGTTTTGCATGGGACAAGGTCTGTAATCTGTATGATGTGATAAGAGTACATTAAAACCCCTGATTATTTTTAACGTCTGTCAAATTGGAAAACTGAGAACAAAAGTACCGGCACGTAATGTATCTTTCTCTTTCAAGCGACAAGCGTACTCCGGTCGCTGCTGATGCGCAATTCATACTCCCCTTACGGTTCTCACGCGATCGGAATTTTTGTGAAGCAAAGAGGTTTCACTTCAAAAATACCTAAAAAAAATTATACCCGAGGCATGTTTTTTTTTAACGACTTTTGGGTAAAAATTTGGGCATTCGTGAGTTCGTGACACTCAAAAAAGTTTGGGACCCCCTTTACGGGGGCCCGTCGGAATAGCTGTACTGCGGCCCGCGCGTGCTTAGCACGGCCCTGTATGTATAGAATTCAGTTTCCTGAATATTCTTTGTTCCATTTTTTGTTTGACCATTGTTTAAAGACTTTTTTGTCCAAATGCATCTCTGCTGGATAATTTCTTGTTAAAATGGCGAACCACTCTTACTACAAACAAGCCCTTTGAGTGACCTTTTCAGAGTTGGCAAATAAAAATTTCTATTGGATTTTGGCGAGTCTTTTTGTATTTTCTTAGCTAGACAAAATTGCATATTTAATTCAACAGTTTTGCACCAAAATTAAATTTGTGGAACATTGAAAATTTTCAAAAAATCACACTGAGACAGTTTTTGCCCCACAGTTCTGTTAATTTTCATCCGATTCAGTGTAAGTTCAGCTCTAATTAAAGCCAATTGAATTTTATGCAAATCTCTAAATAAGGATTTTAATTTGGTTTCAACAGTTCTGCACCTGGGAAGTTTCAAAATCGAATTTATCGAACATTTTCCAAAATTACACTGGGTAAGTTTTTGCCGCACAGCTCCGTTAATTTTCATCCGATTTCAGTATAATTAAGCTCTAATTGAATCCAAGTAAACTCTCTGCAAGCCCATCAATTAAGATTTTAATTTTATTTCAACAGTTTTGCACCTGACTGAGAATCTGAGAAGTTTCAAAATTGAAATTATAGAACATTGAACATTTGACAAAAATTACACTGAGACAGTTTTTGCCTCACAACTCCGTTAATTTCCATCCGATTTCAGATTTCAGTGTAATTCAGCTTTAAATCGAATATTGAAAATTTTCCAAAAACTACCAATGTAGGTACAGTTTTTGCCTCACAGCTCCGTTAATTTTCATCCGATTTCAACGCAATTAGCCTCTAATTAAAGCCAGTTAAACCCTCTACAAACCTGTTAATTAAGCTTTCAATTTAGTTTCAACAGTTTGGCAGCTGAGAAGTTTCAAAATAGAAATTATCAAACATTGAAAATTTTTCAAAAATTACACTGAAGACAGTTTTTGCGTCTTCCAGTAATTTTCATCCGATTGCAACGCAATTAGAGGCTCTAATTAAAGCTAATTAAATTCTCTACAAACCTCTTAATCAAGATTTCAATTTAGTTTCAACAGTTTTCCAGCTGCGAAGTTTCAAAATTGAAATTATTTAACATTGAAAATTTTCCAAAAATTACACTGAGACAGTTTTTGCTTTAAAAATCCGTTCATTTTCATCTGATTTCAGTGTGATTAAGCTCGAATTAAAGCCAGTTAAATTCTCTACAAACCTCTTGATTCAGAATTTAATTTGGTTTCATCAGTTTTGCACCTGAGACTGATAATCTTCAAAATTGAATTTATGGAACATTGAAAATTTTTCAAAAATGACACTGACACAGTTTTTGCCTCACAGCTCCGTTGATTTTCATCCGATTTCAATTGGATTAAGCTCTAATAGAAGCCAATTAAATTCTCTAAAAATCTATTAACTAAGATTTCAATTTGGTTCAAAGTTTTGCACCTGAGAAGTTTCAAATTTGAAATTATCAAACATTGAAAATAAGATTACTTGACTATTGATGTCTAGGATTTTTATTTTGTTCAATGGGGAAGAGAAAAATGTGAATAATCTTAGATTTTGGATTGATATTTGGCACTAAGTATATGGTAGGAATGAGTTCTGTATGAGTGGGTTTCTGTGTATGCCAACCCTGGATCCCTAGCTAAAATCCCGCACAACTCTTACAGTTTAAAAGCACTTTAGCTATTTCTTCTTACTGCTGTGAGAGGCTATTCTTGTCTTAAGTAGAATAGGTGGCTGATGGGCTGATTCAGACTTGGATCATTTTCCATTATTTCCTGCATTACTGTATTGTACAAACTTTTCAAACTGATAAGTTTGGTTGCTGTTATTACCAAAATCGTATTCGGTATTTTCAAGTATTTTTCCTTTTGGGTTGGTATGATCAATGGTTGGTATCTAGAATCCCACCAGGGTTTCTGTTTGTTGCGGTGTTGTCAGCTTGCATAATTTGCCTTGTATTTGGAATATGGTATGTATTGGATGAATTCTGCTGGTTCTTGACACTCCGTGTAATGTTGAAAATACGTACCTAATCACAGCTTTCCAAAATGTTCTGAAGATTGTTTTCTAATGTTTATGGGAAATCTATTTGAATCTACTTTGTTTGACAAAGCTCAAATAAGACTGTTACTATAGTGGAATTTAAAGTTTAAATTATTTTAAGAAACTTGAGAAGCCTTTTTGCATGGCGCCGCCAAAGTCCAGCTACGCACAAGAGATTTACCGACAGTGAGTCGAGTTCTACCACAATTTCTGAAGCTCCCTATGCTACCGATCCAGGTAATTAGATAATAAGAAGCCTGAATAGAAAACAACCTATTACATGTGCCAATAAACGTTGTACCTACCTATTTTCTCTTAGAATATTCCAGAATTCCAAGTAGGGCCGAGCTATCGTCTCAACTTCGGAATTTCTTGAAGGATTCAGACAGAATTTCTCCAACGATGCCCAGTGAATCATTAAAAATTAATCTGGACAAAGTCATCAACGATTTGTTACAAGAACTGAAAAAGCTGGAAAACGGCAACGAGGTCAAAATCCAATCACCCAGAAGCCAAATGGAGCATGCGCGAAAACAACTTGAAATGGTGAGTGATGGACGAACATTTATGTGAAAGAGGCCTCAACGCCTTCAACCTCCTATGCACTCGCATAGTTAGGCGAAGTCTACCATTGCATAAGTGTCCATATTTGTTCAACTTGAGATTACTGCCTACGGATTTTTGATTATGTGAACTTAGGATTAGTATGTATTCAGCTTAATAGCTTTGTGAAAAAAATAAGGTATTCTTGACTTTGACTTTGATATAGGCTTGTAATTTTTAGACATGCATAAATTCCATTCAAATTTCGTTTGTTTCAGATTGCTGAGATCCACAAGAAGCTGCTTCGCCTGAAAATACTCAACGAGAGCCTTTAGAAGGAAAAAAACACCCCTTTTAAAATGAACATAAAATGATTGTTTATTAAATATAAACAATGTTTAATTATGATTTATACAATAGTCTTTGAAAGAAAATTAACAAGATCAGCATTAAAAAAGAAATACAAACTAAAATAAAGTGATGTTTTATCATCTTAAAAAAATAAAATCACAAATAAATAGTAGTAGTCCATGAGACAGCCACCCTTCTCAAAAATTAGTATCTTATCACTGTGGAACTTTGTTAGTGGCTTCATTCTTACGAGCCTACTACAAGCCTAACAGAAAATATGTTTCATTATCACATGACTCACGCATTGTTGTCTTTACCAATGGCGTTTTCTACTGCCCAGCCGCAGCAAAACGTCAAAATGAAGCCACACGCAAAATTCCAGAAGAGTGGTAATAATTTTTAAGCAGTAGTGCTGTCCTTTGGACTTTGGGTAAACTAAAATTTTTATGCCTAAAGAAAGTATGAAATGAACGTGCTGTAAGATATAAAGTTAAACTATTTATAAAACTTCAATCTGATGGTTACGACCACTCAAGAGCTGAATGTAGAAAAAAATGATTTGGACCAATTTATTTAAATAGTTAAACAAAAATGTTCCGTGTAAACAAACACTACTAGAGGTGGGTATGGCGAAACAATTTTAAAAAAAAATATTAAAATAATTAATAAAAAATTCAAATATATCACCAATTTATAATTCATCACAATTTTGTATCTCATAAAATTTTAACTAGTTTATGCTATCTATAAAACATTAAAACATGTAGTTTAAGTATCTAGTTTTTAAGTACCAGGCCTTCACAGACGAATGTGCGTCTCACGATTATATTATAATTTTTTCACACCTAGAATAAATTGAATTTGAACATTTTGTTCAGGGCAAAATAAATCCTTCCTATTTTGTTCTACATTCAATTATCCCAGTGAGCAAAACTATCCATCATCACTGGCAAACGCTTATAGTTAAGAAAATATATTTCTAAAATAATAAATACAGATTTCTTCTGTCATCTAGTTTCTACATAATAATACTATTGATGGCGATTGAATTTCTTGAAAATAGTACAATAGGTATCAGATACTGAAGAGTGACAATTTACTGAAAGCCTGTGGTGGAAGGTAATTCGAGCAATAGAACTTCAGGAAAATCACTTTTCAGACGCGCATTTTGTCCAAACGATCAGAAAAAATCCATTATGATTTGAGGTGTCCTAGGAAAATAGCCATAGGGGCCAATAGTTATCTAATTATGACTGATTCCAAAATTTCCAGTAGCGTAACCGGGAGACGATTTGGGATATTTTCATACAAGTTTCCTATTTATCATTTTTATCACCGCCAATGGGTCATTTATTATCCAAATAATCACCCTAATGAATAATTTTGCCATTGGTCAATATATATTCAGCTTATGTTATTTTAAAAAATCCTTGATTACATGCAAAAAGAGGATATTTTGTATATAAATTACATGAATTTAAATATGATTGCCATGAGGAGTAATTTTTTTTTCACATAGAAGTTTGCCTTATATCATTCTTATATGTATATAATTACTGATATTAGATGTACAAAGAATATAAAAGCAAAAATTGATCTAGTTTTATATAAAATATTGTGCCTCTATTATAGTTGTCTGTACAATCAAATCAGCCATAGCGATGGCTGTGTCTCCTCATGGTTACGCCGCTGAAAACATCCTGCATACAGAATGAAATATGTATTACAAAAAATCCTGCAAATCATAAAATACCAAAAAATAAGACAGTTCATGATAATGAATTTTTAGTTTAAATTTGTTGTAAAAAAACCTTACATTCCTCATTAGACATTTAAATATGTAATAACAGGTTAGATCATAATACAATCAAGCAATGATACTTGAAGCGGCGAAACCGATTAGACAAGAGAGTTTAAGCAAATTGTTAGATGTTTCATAATATCCCTTTTGCACTGAGAAAGCAGATAAATAAAATCCCATCTGTTTGGTACAAATCATTGGGTTTCTGCCGCCTTTGTATAATGTTTTGTACCTACCTAGCGTTCGCCACTCCAAGTATGGCGCAATTAATTATAGTAATATATTTATCTATAAAAAATATACATAGTAATATTGTATTGGTAGAAACTAGTTTTTAAAGTACTGTATGATTCAGTTTTCCTTTTTTTGTGGGTTATGAAAGGGTGCAAACGTTTTTCTTCATACATGATAAGTGTGATGCTGGGTGCATGAAAATATTTCAATGTCAAAGTAGACATCAGTCTAAATCTTAACTCCTAATTACGCCAAAACAAAGAAAAAACACACATATTATGGCAAATGAGAGTTAATCCGTTAGTACGAATAACATTTGATAGTATCAGGGTATTTGGAGAAACATCTAAAAAGGGTTGTTGAACTTGCTGCGTTCTTGTAAAATGGCCCTTGGCTACAATCTTGAAATATCACATGGGGGTCCCCAGTGATGACCCCTCAAATACAAGGTCTCAACCCACTAGGGCTTGAAATACCAAATTGGACAGCAAGTAAGTTGATCAAATTTTGTGAAAAGTTGAATTCAATTCAAATGCATTTAGGCTTCTTTATTTGTTTTATTTTTCGAATGTATATTTTTGTTTTTATTTTGTTAAACAGTATTTGGCACTTTAACGAGTAAGGATGTTGTAGTTATTATTCTCTATAATTTCCGTTCCTTTAAAACATTCAATTTTCTCAACCTAGATAGATGCTTTTATAAATTTTCCTTATAAAATGTTAGTTATGATTAACTATGCCAATGAAAATTTAATTCTCATAATTTGCTGGACATTAAATTACTTGTGATTGATTCATTCAACTTAACTAGCAAAAGTTAAATTAAAATTACCTTCTGAGAAAAAGTCATTCATATTAATTATTAATATTACCTCTAGATTAGAAATGGGGTGTTTCATGTTTGACTGATATTATTATAACAAAATAATTGAAGATTTAACTTTTGTGGATCAACTTCAATATGTGCTAGCTTTAATACTTTGAACAGTTTGTTTAAAGTTTTGTGGGTCAGCGACATTTACTATTCATGCTCAAGTGCATTGCTAACGCATACATTTCCCAACAATTATCAATTATTTTCATTGCTTGTTGTATTATTTCATTAGTTTGCACATCATTTAGAATTAGAGTAAATAATACACAGATTTTTTAAAGTTTAATCAGTCAAAGTTGGGGCTAGGTACCTTTTGATGCTCGAATCCATATTTAAAACTTCAAAAAGTTCTCCCCATCACAATTTTGCCTTTCATTGTTTCATTAGCGATTGCCGCAAAGCCAAGTTTTCCATAAAAGGCTCGCGTGTAACTGTCGGTTACGTTCATCACGACGTGTACACCAAAAAATCCTAAAAAATGTATGTTTCAAAATGTATCCACACTGTTTTACATTAGAAAACTGAAAATAAAGTACATATTTGACAAAGTACAACTTACCATTTGCCCTTAGAGATGCCAGTAAGCATGTTACCAATCTTTTGCTAACAGACTGATCTAAAACTGATGGTAAGAGGCTGCACACTAAACTTGAACGATGAGTGGTGCCATCAAAAAAAACTTCGTCTTTGAACTTGTGGAAATGTGATATGCATTCCTAAAAGATGGAAGTCAATATACATATAATTCGTTTATTTTTCAAACAATGCAACAAAATTTAAAAAAAAAATTCCTCAACCTAGTGAAAACATAAATTTGGCACTCTGTATAATTTATAACAACCCTTGGGCACAATCTACCCATTTAGACAATTCGAATTGGTGCTGGTATTTGTTTTATGTTTTATGTTTATTTAAGTTTGCAGAAGTCGTATCACTTATCTATGAACCCGCATACATAAGAATACTTACTTGAATGCTCTTATTAGCACCTTCGCCTAAATGAGCTGGATACTTTTCGCACATTTCTGGTATCCAAGCAGTTTCCTCTTTTACTCTAAACTTTTTATAATCAGAAGCAGCGCATGCATATCCGACAACACCCACATCATCCTTAAATAATCATAAATAAATTTCAATTGAAAATAGTTCCATTATAAAAATAATTCATTCACCTCTACAACAAAACAAAACTCCGGATGAATTATCAAGTAGGGTCCTACAATCCTATCTGCGTGGATATTTTTTAGTTCAGGCGGCAAAGCGACAGAGTGCTCTAGACCGTCTTTACAAGTTTTATTGCTAATATTGTAAACTTGCTCCTCGTCTTTGGGCAAATAGGGTCTTATTGTAAAAAGTTTAGAAGTGGGGACATCGGGAACTTTGTAGACGAAGAGGTCGTTACCTGAGTCAACTGGCATGAGACGCTAAAAATAATTCAATTTTTTATAGTCCTTTTTTGCTTTAAAATGATAATAAATCAACCAGAATAAGGTGATATGGATTGATTTGTATGAGAAAGGATGATTTTTTTTTCATTTTGGACTGAAGACAGGCCATACTTTAAAATGTATTTGTTTGTATCATTATTGAAGATAAAGCAAAAATACCTGAAGGTCAGCAGTAAGCCCACCTCTGAAAACCCAAGGTTCTTGGTCGCCGGACATAAAGGTCTCCTTCCAACCTCTGGAAAACCCTAAAAATATAAACAATTAATGTAACGAGTTTATAATTGAACTTCCAGTATCACAATTACAAGTTTTCTGATGGCAAAACAAAATGTGAAACATATTGTATAGGCAGAAAAATAATTGGAAGATACTTACATGTGAAGGTGCCCTGGGTGTATGATGGCATGGACGAAGGAAACTGACCAGTAGCTTCAAAATAAAAAAAGTAAGATTACCTGTCAAGTGCATTCAGTTGAACACTTACCTAACCACTTAACATATGAATTTAATAGAGAAATAACACTCTGTATATCCCAGATGTATGAATAAAGATCATAAAGCGCTTCTCGATTATTACAAGAAGTCAAATGTTGAAAGAGCCTGTTTACAGCCAATGTCAGTTCGTTTAGTTTATCAGCTCTGGTAAACCATTCTTGGACCTAGTTGAAAAATTAAATTAAAAATCAGAATTTACCTGTATCTGGTGAGTTTCTTACCTCCGGATTTGATGTGTCATCTCTTTGTTTAGACGATATAACGACATGTGCGTTCGATTTTAACCAATGAAACTCGTGCAGCAATTGTAAACCTTGAGCACCATGTTCAAATGGCAAATAGAATAAATCACAAAATAGGGCCAGATCTTCATATGTTAGATCAGCATTGTCTTTCCTAGAAATACCATTAATTTGACAATTACCTGAATAATTATATGTATTGGCTAGTTTCATGTAAGTACAATAAATTTACAATTATTTTTATTAGGTACTGTATAATTTTTAGTATGATTCCTAAACTCACCTAGGAGGCTCATTATTCTCAACTATCATTTGATTCACATCATTTGATTCCACCTGCATTGATCCACTTGATGACTATAAAATAAAAATAATAAAACATTAATTTTGGAAGTAAATTGTAGTGAAGTTAGAATTCCATGAAAAAATTGCTTTTAAATTTCAACTAGTGAGCAAAAATCGAATATATATTTGGAGCACTAAACATCCACTTACTGAAACTGTTTCAGTCATAGCAACATCTTCTGGAGATCCTTGTAGTGCCTTGACTCCGTGTGCGGGTGATATATTTGGAGTACTATTACAATCCATTGGTTCCAAAGGGCTCGGACTTGATTCACTACTAATGCTAGAGTCTGTATTCATAACAGTTTCATCTTTTAAATTATTGTCCTTTGGCTCATCCTGCAACATCGGGACACCTTTCGACGTTGCTGCTCTGGTACCATTGGCTAACAGAATCAATTAATGAGATTTTGCAACAAAATGATGTCAATATAAATTTTGCCAATACTGAAGTCATGGAAATCATAAGCATTAAATTGTTACCTGCAAACGAATTTAGATTTATTTTTGGGTATTACCTTTTTCTGGCTTGATAATCACTCCTTCCAATACAGTGATAGTTTTACCTTTCTCCTCGTCTACAGGAATGGGCACAGGAACGGCCGCTATAAGATTCGGTATCAACTCGTTGGTAACTACTTTGGTTTCTGACACCAATGAGTTCATAACAGGCGCTGGAGCAGGTGTCACGAGGCTGTCAGTCCCTGAAGCCACCTACAGAGAATTGCGATGAAAATTGAAAGAAGGGAAAAAAAAGGGAAACAATCTTGAATAAGAAACACTTACGGAACTGCATACCTCAGCCAAAGCTTGTAACTGACTGGAAGATACCATTGGTTGTGCTGACCCGCTTGAAGAAAGAGTTGTTGTGCCAGCAGTCAAACTCATGCACGTATTTATTGAAGGAATTATAGGTACAGGAACAACTAAAAAATAAAATACCTGAATGAATAAATAATCCAGATTATTTTAGGATAAAATCAAGGTGATGCAACCTAGACATATACAGCATACATATGGTTTGATTACTGTAAATAAGTTGTAAGTTCTCACCAGCTACAGCAGGTTGAGGTTTGGCTATGGGTCCCCAGGCTGCTTTGTGCTTTGTAAATTCCGGCAGCCACTCTTTAATAGCATTTTTTAAAGCTTGTTTTGGATGATACATGTTGGGCGAAAGAGTTGCTGGCACAGCTTCGCCAGATAAACCATCTTCAGTTTCGGTCTCAAGTTTGATGTCTGCAGATACAGAATCGTCTGGAATAAAAACCAATGTGATTTAAATCAAATTTGCAAGTTAAAGTGAAAAATGATATACCAGCAGGATAATAAGCATTGAATTGTTCTAATTAAAAAACAAGGGGGTTTTGGCTTACTTATAGAAAGATCCCTTTGTCCATCAACGCTACACCTAGACCACTGCGCCAATGTATGTATAGCAATAAAGTTTGCCCCATATTCGCAATTGGGATTTGTAACAACTCCTCGCAGTTTTGGTATCAAATCTGGCGACCTTCCCGAATATGGGCCCAAAAATACCCGCTTTTGATCATAATCATTAGCGTGCAAGTTGTCCCAAATAACAGGCGGTCTTCTCAAAGCCTCTGTAATTTCCTGGATGTTCTCCTTGGTGAGATTTCGCGAAATCACTTTGCTTCCTACAAAAAGTGAATGTTAACAAACAATATGATGGCAAACATTTTAATGAAATACTATTTGGTTAGACTTGTAATTTTATTAAAACAATTTAAAAATAGTAATTCTTTTCAACATCAAAAGAAAACTTCATTGAAAAAAAATTTCCAATGAGATAAAATACTCAAAAATAGTTAGGTGATAATTAGCTTAGTATTGTATTTTGATAGGGCAAATTCCGCAATAAAACAAACATAAGCAGAATGACAAGCTGTACCTAACTTAGTGGATACAAAAAAACAGTTTTCTTACCAGTCCACATAATATCGATCTCCTGCGACAATTTCGAGCCTAATGTATTCAAATATTCAGAATTTATAACATTTGGCACAGCTCGAGTGGAGCAATACTGTGTAGGGCAAAGCAAAAACTTTGGTAGCCTTAAATGCTCAAAAATTTCATTGGTAACCGAGACTTGAGCTTGTGCGAAAGACTGGAAAATTTCTTTGTCCTGTTCAGACATTTCCGGTTCGATATCGTCAAACAGTAAAGCAAAAGCCTTACATCCAAACTGAGAAACTTGCTCCAGTTTCCTTTTGAGTGTTGAAAGTTCTTTTTGACTGGAATATGTTATGTCCAAGCCAGGAGATAATGCATAATAAAAAGTAATATTTTGGTCCTTGGCCGCTTGTATAAGTCCAGTTAAATGTTCGGCTTCTTCAACTGTGTACAATTCTCTCCAGTAGGCTCTGTGCTTGTAGTCATCCTTTGGAGCATAAACATAGGAATCCATACCCCATTTTTTCATTCTAAAATATAATAAATATAAATAGAAATTGAATTTTAAAATAAACGAATATTGGAATATTAACTATCAATATGCAAATTTACTTAATAAAGGGTTTAATTATGTATGTTTGATACCTACTGCAATATAAAAACAATTAGCAAAATTTAAGAAATCATTTGAAATGTTAATTTTCGATAAATAATGATGAGGGATTTGTTACATAAATTATAGTTGTGTTATGTTTGAAATATTTACATATTGTAGTTGCCATTTTTAAGATAATTACTTTTATTCTTGTAACCAATACAATTGTAAGAAATATTCAGTGAATGAAGAATTATTTCATTAACAATCTCAGGTGAATTTATTGAGACCTCGTGAGTCAAATTTTTATTGGATTAAAATATTACTACAATAGCACGTTATGATACTTACTTCTGAAATAAATCCTTTCTCTGCTCTGTTGTCCAGGGTCGCCCATAAAAGCCTACAATAAAAAATACAAATTATCATTTTAAGGTTTGGTTAGTTATTCCCCGAGTTATCCTAGGTAAACAAAAATGTTTAGTGATGAAAAATTTCAAATCAAATCAAAATATGCTTTTTGGTCAGAAAAAATGTTTCATTGACAAGCTGTATAAGGAAAAAATACATAAAAATATAAGTAGTCATAAAAATGTCGCAATATACATACCTAACAGAACAAGGAAACAACCGAGGAAACAACAAATATAACATACTAACCAATAAGTATCTAAAACTAGATTGTCAATCACACCAAGTATCTCAAAGGCTATCCTTAATGTCATCATTTTAGGAACAAACAACAAAAAGGAAATGCACAGAAACAAAACCAAAAACTTGACACCCTAGAAAAAACGTTAAACTTATTTCTTAAACAGAAATTACCATTAGCATTTACCTCCCTTAAGTTGGATAAAAATATTTCTCCAAGGTGTAGTAAGGATTTACAATTAATAGGTTTTTCAACTTTTTTCAAAAAATCTCAGATTTAATTTCAGGCAATTGCAGTGGTAGATGATTGAAAGAAAACAACCTTTGCTGTTTATTGTAACAAGTTAATTACCTACATACTAAATAAAATATAATAATATAAAAAATATAATATAAAAAAAAAGGCCAAAGCCCAAAAAATACCGCTAGATGTAAAACATTTCTTTCAAGCCAGAATCTTCAGGAATGGTTCCAAGTATTGAAGCTGCGTTACCACTTACCACGTTGAATTGCAATACTAATCTGTTGAGTAATGTAACAGAGAGCATTTTTGTTGTTTATTAATTTGGCTATTTTATTTATAAGAGATTTTGCTTCTTCTCCCCAGGGGCCCATTGTCTCAACACTGAATGGTACGAAAATGTACCCACTGGCTTCAAGCTCTTCATATTTTTTTGTTTTTTGCATTTCACCACCACGTGCAGCTTCTCCAGATTTTTTGCAGGTTTTTGCCAAATAAGATGCTGCAAAAGTATCCCTGCACGTGGCGTCCCATATCAAAGATTTACCTCTGCACCAAGGAAATAAGGAGAGCCCATCAACACGCTTCCCATCTCCGCGACATAATCCAGGAGGTTCCAGCACTGAGGGAATACCTGCAGATGCCAGAGCCCTTTTAATGATATTGTTGATTAGCCCATGACGAGACAAACGACCGGCACTTTTGTAGCAGCTTAAGGCGTGATGCCCAAAAATGTCTACAGTTTTGCCGCAAGTGCAGTCGTGTGTCTCACATAAGGGTTGACCCAATCGCAAGGAGACGGAGATGCGGAAGGTGGTGTCTTCTAGAAGATTCCCTAGTGCAGAGGATGGCAGAGCCTGGAGCCAGGCACTGCTCTCTGGTTCTTGAAGAGCTAGAAGTCTAGCTTGATCGCTTGGATTTTTTGATAAATTCAGTATTGAAATAAATTTTGAACGACAAATTGCCTCATCAAAAAATTTTTGGTGATTGAAATTGTTGGAAGATGAATCATTCATATTTGAAAAAGAAGACCATATATCAAAGGCTTCTTCAAAAAATTTGTCTGGATAAATAAAAATTTCGGATGATAAAATATCTTTAAGAAGATTTGATACATCGCTAACTGATCCGAGAAAAGCAGAAAAACAAAGACTTGAAGCATCACGAATGCCAAGACCTCCCATTTTAACAGGAATATTGCATAGAGACCAAGCGGTGTCACTAATATGGCAATTAGTAATTTTTTCCAAAGATGTTTTTAAAAGATGATCAAACTCATGTAGAAGATTTGGAGCTTTCCAACAAGGAGCACAGCGAAGTTAATACGAAATACGTGAATACGTGGTACTGCAAATGAATGTCTTAAAAGGAAATATGCCGGGTGAGAATCAATTAAAGGTAATTTATTTGACATTTTATTGAAAATATCGATCTTTTTTTGAAAACATGTGCAAACAGATTGAGCGAAGAAGGGACTTCCAAGAAGTGTAAGTTCTTTTTTATCTATTTTTGATACAGTGGATAGTTCAGGATTTTTCTCGATAAAATTGTCAAAATCAAAATTAAAGTCTGCAGATAAGATAGATCTCACATTTTTTCAAATTCAATTCCAGGCCCGTTGAAATACATCCTTTAAGAATTTTTCAAAAATCTTCTAATACGACTTCCGGCTCCCCAGCAATGATACCATCATCAAGGTACCACAAATTTATTTCAGATTTCAAAGAAAAACTTATAGGATGAATTGATAGACAAAAAAGAAGAGGGCCTAAAGGGTCTCCTTGTTGTACTCCTTGTTGGGAAAAAATTAAATTCTTACCAAAAGATAAAAGATTTCTCTCTATAACAAGAAGAAATGAAGTTGTAGAAATCAGGAATTAATTCTTTTACTTTATGTAAAAGATCCCCCCTATTAATCATATTGAAGGCATTTAGGAAATCAATTTTTATTTTTTTGCTGTTGAATATAATAGATTTTTTAAATGTTACAATAGTTTTTAGTGCATCATTAAATCAGTGCTTGTTGTTCAAAAAAAAAAAGGTTGATTGAGATGAAGTGATTTTTTTTTTTTTTTACGGATATGCGCACTTGCAAGAAAATGTCCTATCACGCTCGAGAAGCGGCAAGTGCGCGGAAATGTCGGTGTATGTTGGTCTTGAAACGGTTCAGGTTGTAACCTGCAGGGAAAACCGTCGCAGGGAGTTTATTCCACAGCGATGCTGTTCTCCAGAGATATGAATTCTGATATAATAAGGTTCTTGGTGCCTCTAGTTTGACAGTAAATTCGTGGTTACCGTCTGTTTGACGGGTTCGCCTGGTAGGTGCTACTCTCGGTGGAATCATACGTGCCAACTCTTCAGAGCATTTTCCGTGATAGTACCTGTAGCAGAGAGATAAATCGCCCACAGATCTGCGATGTTCGAGACCATCCAAGTTACGAGTAAGTGCGGGGTCATTGATCAGCTTGATAGCTCGTTTTTGCATGGTATTCAAAAGCATTAAGGTATGTTTGGGTGCTGCACTCCATATATGTGAGCAGTACTCCATAGTTGGTCGAATCTGGGCTTTGTAGAGTGTCAGCAATTGGCTTGGTGTGTGCAGATGTCTTGTACGAAATAGCACCCCCAGCTTTTGGGAGGCCCTTAGCAATATCTGCCACGTGACTGTGCCAAGACATGTTGGTCTCTGCAGTAACCCCCAAGATGTTCAACTGACTCTGTAATGTAACAGCACTTCCAGATAGCATGATGTTTGGCTCACCGGTGCTGGTCTTTTTTGAAAACAGAGCTGCTTGGGTTTTCTGCGCGTTGAACTGTACAAGGTTTTTGTTACCCCAGTCCTCTATTATCTCCAGGTCGTTATTTATCTGCGATATTTGAGTTAGTCTAAGATGATGGAATTCACATGCGGAAAGACCTGTGGGTGGTATGAGTGAGGAGACTACATTGCCATTGTCTGCAACAATAAAGTGGATTTACTGTTTTATCTATGAGGTCATTTATGTACATCAGGAAAAGAGTTGGCGAAAGGATTGCTCCCTGTGGCACACCAGCATTTATTTGGTAAGAGTTGGAGTTCTGGCCATCCAGTGCAACATAAATGGATCTGTCCTTTAGGTAACTTTCAAACCAAGTGCAAAGTTTCGGCGATAATCCCATTGCTTTGAGCTTGTTGAGCAGATTTTCATGCCAAACTTTGTCGAATGCTTTAGATATATCTAAGGCAATTGTTCTTGTTTCACCCCGCAACTCAATCGCTTTTTGCCATAAGTGAGTGACGTATGTAAGTAAATCGCCAGTTGACCTATATTTTCGAAATCCGTATTGCTTATCGTTGATAATTTTGTACTTTTCCAAGTACTTGGTTAGGTGATTGTTCACAACTCTTTCCATTACTTTTGATATCACCGGAAGTAGAGCAATTGGTCTATAGTTTAACGGATCTGTCTTTTTTCCTTTCTTTGGAATGGGTTGTACTGCGGCAGACTTCCATGATGATGGATATACTCCTTGCCTGTAAGACAAATTGAATAATTTTGCGAAAGTTGGGGTGAGTTCGTTGGCGCAATTTTTGAGTACTATTGCGGGAATGCCATCCGGACCCATTACTTTGTTTGTATCCAGCTTTTTTAGGGATTTTCGTATTTCTCTGTGACAAAAGGGTACCTCTGGCATACTATGGGAAACCCTTTCAATGAACGGTGGAGTTTTTCCGTTTGGCACTGTTAGGTTGGAGTTGGAGGAAAACATTTGGGCAAGCATATTGGCTTTTTCCTCTTATGTTGTGGCTAAGTGATTATTTTTATCTGTAAGTGGTGGTATGGATGACTTGGTGAAGTTAGTTCCAACAGCTTTTGCAAGAGACCAAAAAGACCTAGAACTACTTGGACAATTCAGCAACCTGTTTTTTATTCTTTGATTGTATGTTTCTTTAGCGGAGTCAATAGTAATTTTGCAACTATTTCTGGCTTCTATAAATTCTGTGTGGTTTTGAGCGGTTTGTTGTCGTTTCCAAAGGTTATATGCTATGAGTTTTTTCTGTACAGATGTTTGACACTGGCTGTTGAACCAAGGTTTTGCATTAGCTCTACGTTTAGTTGTATGTGGGATATATGCGTCCATTCCAGATAAGATTACTTGTGTTATTTCATTACAGCAAATAGTGGGATCAGCTGTTTTAAAGCAAACCTCTTGCCATGGAAAATCCAGGTAATACTGTTTTAGGTCATTCCATTTTGCCGATTTATAGTGCCACATTTTACAAGGAAGTGGTTGTAGGCTTGGTGGGATGAGCATTTCGCACTTTTTTTTTTTTTTTTTTATTTATTTATTTACGGGTAACCCCCATTAATAGTTATAATATACAACAAAAATGGTTATGACTCTAGATTGTTATGAATTAAATCTAAAAATATGTATCACTTCAGAGTTTCATTTACATACTAAAAAGTAATCCTATACAAATGATTTCGAAATTGAGACAAAGTTAAACCAAATATTTCTATGTGATAATAATTAATTAACTTACAATATCTATCTATTGGTGAGTTTTGACCATAGTTAGTACGATGATAGGGAATGTTAAAAGACACAAAATCGCCTCTTCTATTTCTAGTCGGTGTGTCTATATTTATGCATAGCAGGAGATCAGCAGAATCAATCATACCATTGACCAACTTGCAAACAAAAATCATTCCAGCAGAGTTTCTCCGGTTAGAAAGGGTTTTCACTTTCAGCTGATTTTCAATGGCAGCATAATCATGATCAACAATCACAAGTCCTAATCTGAATGCACAATGTCTTAGAAATTTGTGCTGAATCTGTTCAATAGTTGCTTTGTGAACTGCATGATATGGTGACCATACTACTGAAGCATATTCCAGCTTCGAACGCACCAAAGAACAATAGACACTCCTAGCAGTTTCAAGTGAAAAGTTTTTACAGTGTCTTAAAACAAAACCCAATAGTTTAGACGAACTCACTGTGAGATTGTGAATGTGACCTACAAAACTCAAACTTTCATCAAATAATACCCCCAAATCTTTAACCTTGGAGACATAAGTCAGAGTTTCGCCATTTAATGTATAGGAAGTGTCAAATTTTTTCTTGCCTTTGAAAAAACTAATAAAACAACATTTGTTGACATTCAGATAAAGCTTGTTGTCTGTGCACCAGCCCGTCAGCCTGTCAAGATCGTCCTGCAAAAGCCGTTGATCATCCATACAATTTATGATTCTATATGCTTTAAAATCATCTGCAAATGCCAGCCCGTCACTGTTCTCAAAACACTCAAATATGCTGTTAACAAAAAGATCAAAAAGCAAAGGAGAACAGTGGCCCCCTTGGGGAACTCCTGAGGTGACATTAATAGTATCTGATTGAAAAGAACCAATTTTGACCATCTGCAGGTGACCCGACAGAAAACTACTAGCCCACTTAACTGATTTGATACCAAAGCCCATATTGAAAAACTTCTTTAAGAGTATCTGGTGGTCTACCCGATCAAAAGTTGGAGAAAAAACAATGTCACCAACTACCTGAGTGTGTGATACAGTCATCCATAAGCAAAGCATAATTTTGACAGTTTAATGGAGATCAGACTTAAGTGGATTTGTCGAAGTCTGATAAATAGTTCAGACTTCGACTAATCCACTTAAGCTGATCTCCCATTAAACTGTCAAATAGCTTTGCTATGGATGACTGTATACACACACTTCTGTAGTTGGTGACATTGTTTATTTCTCCACTCTTATATATGGGTACAATAAAACTGTGTTTCCATTTGTCCGGGTAGAAACAAGAATCTAAGGATCTCTTGAACAGGACATGCAATGGCTTGACTAATAAACATATAGACTTTTTTAGGATTATATTAGGGATTCCATCCGGACCTTTTGTATTTTTATTTGGGAGATTACATATCTTATTAAAAATATCTTCTATGGAAACATGAGAAAAATTGAAGCACTCGGAACTCACGTCAGACGTTTCAGAAACTATCCCCTCCAAATCAAGATTGCTAGGAGTGTAAACTGTCTCAAAATATTGTTTAAACAAGTCCACAATATCTTGGCCATTTTCCGCCAAACGACCATTATAAAACATTGATTGAGGAAGGGTGTGCGAACTTTTTAAGTTCCTTATGTATGTCCAGAAATATTTTGGATTAGCTTTAAATTCATTATCAACATTATTAAGGTATTGAGCCCAACATATTTCTCGAACCCTCTTACACTCCGAACGCAACCCTGAAAACCACACATAATCAAGAGGAGATTTAGAATTATTATAAGCTTTATGAGCAATCTTTTTCTGGAACGTAAGACTTCGAAGCTCTTGTGAAAACCATTTTGGAAATGTGCTTGTGTGATATTTTTTTAAAGGAACATATAGAGCAATACCCATCTCGAGAATTTCATAAAAAGAATCCAAAGCTAAATTAATCTCATTATGTGAAAGGCATTGCTCCCAGTTTATACTAGCTAGAAAATTGTTCAATCCCAGAAAATCAGCGTTACGGAAATCATGGTAGAGATCATGAAGCTGAAGGCCTTTACTTCCCTGACTTTTACCCATAATTAAACAGCATTCATAGCTAACATGATGTAAACTATTATCAAAAATAATATCCCTAGCTAAACTAACTACAACGTTGCTATCATTAGAAAACATCAAATCTAGGAACACATTTCTATGATTAGGAATATTAATACATTGAAAAAATTGCAAGAAACCAAAAGATTGAGCAACCTGAATAGCCGCGGATGCAGCTGGACAGTCAACTCTCACTCCAAATCCATCATTCGATCAACTTGCCTCAGGTAGATTGTAGTCACCAAAAATATACATTTTTTGAGATTTGCAAGACTCAAGAACATGCTCCACAGACTCACAGTGCATGTTGTAGTAAATATTTGGCATGTTGGGTGGTATGTATACCCCAGCAATCACAAATTTGTTCCCATGGAAGCTACATGCGACAAACAGCTGTTCTACATTGTGCTGGTTTATGTAAACTCTCATAGAGCTGATTGATTTCCTAATGTATATAAGTATACCACCGCCGCTAGATTTTTGACTAGTAAGATGAGACCGATCCAAGCGGAATAAATTAAAATCACAGCACTCTAGCTCACTGTCCATGAAGTTATCACATAAATTACTTTCGACTAGTACAATAATATCATATGAAGAACTATTTACTGCTAATTTCAGAAGCTCAATCCTTGTACGAAGGCCACTGACATTTTGATAGTATACCATTAATGGGGAGGTAGTTAGTTTTCCTGATTGCTTGCCTTTTTAGCGACTACCACTGGCATACCTTTAATATATCTGATGACTAGGTCTTCCCCTACATCCTTTCTTCTTGCAAGTTCTTCACGAGCTTCTTTGTAGGCAGCCTGCTGCATTTTTGTACAATCATATGCTATTTTGTAAGCACTGGACGCCAGTTTCTGTTTGCATCGAATGGCCTTTCTAATGATATCAGTATTATTGCATATTAACTTCAACGGTCTAGGCTTTCCATCAGCCCTTTTCTGACCCACACGGATGACTTTGCTAATAGCAGCAATTTCATCCTGGAAGCCAAGAGCAGTGAAGACTTCTTTTGCTATTTTCATGTCATACTCAATTCTACTTTGAAGAATATTCTCAGCAGATTCTTGGGTACCAAATACCATTAAATTATTCGCTCTCATTGCGCGCTCACGTCCTTCTAACAAAATCTCTTCAATATTAGCAGCTGGTTTAGTTTTCAGATTTTGTATTTCAATTTTGAGAGTATCCACCTCTTTTTGCAGCTCTTTAACCCCCTTGTTATTATAAGTTTATGATCGGACGAACTAAGTGGAGCATCTACTTGAATTGTGTACGAGTCAATCCCAAATCTTATTTTTGCTTCTATTTTTATAGGATCAAGCTCTGGGTATGATAATTTAACAGAATCCTAAGCTTCTCAATATTTCCAGTCTGCACTCAGTACAGGGCAAATATCCGGCTATAGTGGATAAAGAATTGGATTTTTGGTTTAGATTTTTGATGTTTTTCGTGGATATTCATGTTTTTGATGTATACCTATTTTTATGTATTAAATCCTAACATTCTTGAACAGATAACTTCAAGAGTATCAAGGAGCGTTTAAGAATATTTTGAAGATTTCTTATAGCTTTTAGAACTTTCCAGCGCTTCATAATCATTAGGGAACCAATTGAAAACTTTGAAAAGCTTCAGAATGTGCTAGTGCCAAGTTATAAAAAATTTAAGCATGAGACAAATTGGTATCTTTGAAAACATTGTAAAACGTTACAAAACACTTCAAAACCAATTTAGAATTTCCGAAACATTCTAGAACAGGCCAGAACACTTCTGAACTTTCGGCAACATTTTAGAAAGCTTTTGGGATACTCTAAAACACTTGAATCATATGGAACTTTTGGAAACAATCTAGCTTGAGAATATTTGGGAGATTTGTGATAACTTCTAGAACATTCCAGCGCTTCAAGAGTGTTAAGCATATTGAGACGCTGTAGAGCATTTTAGAATAAGTTTAGCATTTTAGAATAAGCTTCAGAAGACTCTCAATTCAACCCTAAATCCTCCTGCATTTGTTTGAGACAAATTGGAACTTGCAAGAACATTTTAAAACGCTACAGAACAGAACCCTTTAGAATCAAATTAGAATTACAGAAACATTCTCTCTGTAAAAGGAGTATATGTTTGAAAAACGCTCGGAAAAAAGATTTTATATTTGTCCTTTATTAAACATTTGTGGAGAATTTCTGGCTTTTTTTCGTGAAAAGTGTCAATAGAAAAAAAAATGATTTTTTTTCTTCTTGTACAGTACTCAGGTAAGATTTTTCTGTGGAAATTTGTGTTAATTTATATGGAAATATCCATCAAAATCAAAATCCATCCAAAAACCACAGAGTAGAGAAATTGTTTGCCAACTCTGTGTGCTTACCTTTAAAGTCATCCTCAAATAAACCAAGTGTGTGTTCATCCTTAGATTTACTTCAAGACTAGTGGAATCCTAATTTTTATTTATGAAAGCTGAAAATTTATAGAAAAGGCTCTAGGTAGGTACCTACTTGTACCTTAATCAGTCAAAAATAATCCTCAATAGCAGGATTACAAGAGGCAAAAATTAAAACCCAATGATATGATACAATTGGCCTGCTCTTATTTTCTATAAAATAACAGCCCTACTATTTTGTTGATGTTCATCATAACCATGCAGGATTAATGTGAATATCAAAATTTTCAGCTGCTAATAAATATAAGGTCAGAAGAAGCAAGCTAGGAAACTAAATTATTAGCATGATCCCTAGTGACCCTGGTTTGCTATTGTTTCAAAATTCAAATTCGAATCCAGGTAATTTTCCACCATTAATTACATACCTTCGACGACTCCGCAAATAAAGTTTCCATTTTTTGTGTCCAAGTTCTCGGCATGGGGTAAGTCTTCGCCCATTTTAAGTAAATAATGTTACAAAACAAAGTTTGTAAACCACAATAAAGTATAAAGTAATAATAAAGTAACCCGGAAGCAATTGTCCAGAAGTAAACACACTACAGCTACAACCAATACAACCTACCAAACAGCAGCTACGACATTCGCTTGTCACAGAAGCTGATAAGTTTTTTTTTACTCGTATCAACCAATTTTTTCGCTCTCTTTGATCCGAACCGTGCCTATATTTACTCCGGAGCAAAATAAGTTCTCACCACCGTTCCAATATAAAGGTGCGTCCAGAGTCTGGTGCAACAAACAGCGCAAAACGTTCGCGAACGTTGCAGAACATGTCAGTTTGGACGGTTGCGCGCTCCAGACTTGCTCTCGCGCGCTCTGTTTTGCGCGGCGCAAAATGTTTTCCATGCGGTATCGGTATAAACAAAAAATTGTTGCAGCAGTTAAAACGTTATCCGCGCTGAGCGGAATGCTTGTTGCAAAACGTTCGCGAACGTTTTGCGCTGTTTGTTACACCGGTCTGGTTGCACCTTTACATTTCGCGCAAATAAGTTTGCTCTGAGCATAAAAGTAACCGTATGAGGCTCTAAAATAAATTATTTATTAATCTAAGGCAAAAAATTTTACGCTGCAATTAGTACATAATAAGATCGTTATTTATATTCCTAGAGATGTTCTACTTGCTCTGAGTGCAGGTGACTAATAATCGCTCTCGCTCCAATCTACTCCCGAATTGGATATTTTTCTAACCTAACTTCTAACATCTGGAGTTGGATTTGAATGTAAATATTATTTTTTCACATGAGCCACATATTTATTTACTCTTGTTCAATTCGATATTAATCTATGGAAAAGTCTTTGTAATACTGTGCTGTGATAATGTACACATTATTATATGGATTTTACAAGTATATGGTACAAAAAGACGAGTACTGTGTCCTGATTTTGGGCTTGGATAATGCTGGCAAAACCGTAACGTGATTTACTTTCTAATTGTACTTTCTCAAATGTGAGTTAAATTTTAGACTTATTTAGAAGCAGCCAAAACTAAACTGACTAAAAATTACAAGGGAATCAATCCGGCAAAAATTACCACCACAGTGGGATTGAATATTGGCAGAATCGATGTGAATGGGGTGCAGTTGAACTTTTGGGATCTTGGTGGACAAAATGAACTGCAGTCGTTATGGGACAAGGTATGTAACTTTTATAATTTAAGCGTCACTTCTTAGTGTGCTCCTTTTTTTATCAAAAATTATTGATTCACATTTTGTTGCCAGCTGCTAATTCTACAATTTTTCAACCAGGAAATTCTTCCCCATACAGGACCACAGTTTCCCAAAACTCTGCCCTGAAGTAATTCTTGCTGCTTTTTTTCTCATTATACAACCAAGCTATTGGAAATTTTTGGTTTTGATTGTCTCAAGGATTTCAGTTTCTTTGCTGTTAAGAAACCCCAGAATAGCATCAATGGCAACAAGTTCAATCCCTGATTTATCAAGACAGACTTAGGATGAAAGAACATTCAAATGTTACCTTTTATGTAACTAAGTATAGACTTTTGTGTGTATAACATACTTAATAAATCTCTTTTCAATTCTAATTGAAATGATCAAGCTTTTTTGCTTCTGGATATTTATCACATAGTAAGAGCCTACTTTACTTTTTTTTATAGAAAATTTGACCATGCTGGTATTATGTCACCTTTCTCTATTGCAAATCTGTCATTCATCTTGGTGGCACCAAAATTTTTGGACTAGAGAATTAGGCCAGTCATATAATACGCTAAAATTTCAAACTGACGGCTAATTCTGACTTTTTAATATGTTGTTAGAACTACTATCAGTGTTGCAGTTTTCTCATTAAATCTTCAACTATGCATTTTTCCATAAAACATGTTATTCACAGTTATAAAGCAGATTACATTGGCTACAAGTTGAGGCCAGAACCAGGTCTGTAGGACCGATAGTTACTAAGATACAGCCCTCCAAAAATTTGATATTTTTTCATTAATTGTTACTTTTTTAAACTATTATTTATTTTTGCTCATTTAGTCTTCAAACTAAATGGGATCGGCTCCTTCTTAGAATATTCGTCAACCTCATTCAATTGTGGAGATTTGGAAGTACCCCCAGAATTCAAGTTGTTTCTCCACGCCTTCACTGGGAGCAACTGGTATGTGAAGACCAAACTATGGAGCGCCATCCCGAAATACACTAAACTCATCACCACAACTGAAGGTTCCGCCAACCTCTACTTCAACCCACCAAGCCATTGCAGCTGCCGGAGTAAAGTGCTCAGTAGCTCTGTATGGGGGAGACTAGACTGAAGAAACGCTCCAGAGCCTGCACTGTAAAATTTTTGTAAAAACAGCTGTCTGCTAAGGTCGCCTTCGCTTGTTTGCCTCCAACGGGAGATGGTGCAACATTCCACTTGGATATAAACTACCGGTAGTGGTCCTAAAAACATATTAAAAAATCTGAACTAGCCATTATTTTGCGATTTTATATATTTCTCATGTACTACCTATATGACTGGCCTAAATTGAATTGTGATCATTATTAATCTAATAGTTTTTTTAGTACTATGAAGAATCCCATGCCATTATCTACATAGTCGATTCATCAGACAGGGACAGGATAGATGAATCTAAGGAGATTTTTGGTAAGTAAATGTAAATCTTGTAATATACATTACAAAACATAATTTGAAATATTCTAATATTCATAAAATTGCAAAAATAAAAAAGAAGTCAAACTGTTTGAGAAAGTATAAAATACCTATTTGAAATAAATGTTAAGATCAAAGCCCTAAAAATTCTGTCTCTGCTATCATTTTCAGATAAAATGATAGCCAGTGAAAACCTGCAAGGTGTTCCGCTATTAGTTCTAGCAAATAAGCAAGACCTTCCTGAGTGTATGGGTGTACGAGAAGTTAAACCTATTTTCAATAAAAACGCCCACTTGATAGGTAAAAGGGATTGTATGGTGATGCCTATATCTGCTTTAACAGGGTATGTATTATTATTTGAAATTATTGAAATATTTATTAATCTATCAAATTTTAGAGAAGGTGTAGATGAAGGCATCATGTGGCTGGTTGATTGTATTAAACGGAATTCCTTTCTAAGACCACCAAGAAATAATGATGAATCCTAGCTAGAATTTATTAGCTATAATATCAAAATCAAGTGGTATAAATTTTTGTTCTTTCGGTGTGACAGAAGTTAGCAGTGTTGTGAAAATAATTTTCAGTTAAATCAAGTTAGTTGGTTCAGTTCATTTTGGGCAGTTTGATCTATGTCTATTTTTTCGCATTTGAGTAGATACTGCGTTTTAATAAGAGTTTCTAGTAAATCACGAATCTATCTGATAATGTTTTGGTTAGTGATTGTCCGATTTTTTATAGATACAGATAAAAAAATTTGCTGGATTGTTAACATGTTCATAGGTAAAAAACCATGCTTGGTGTGGGCGGGTAATTTTACACTCTCTTATCTAGGTCTTGCCTCCTCAAGCACATAATTGTATGATTAAACTTTCCTCCTCAGGCTCCAGACCAGGATATTTTTTATTTACGAGACATCAATAAAAAATATTCTGGTCTAGAGTCTGATGAGGAGGAAAAGGTACAATAACAGAACAAAACATTACCAATTCTAAAGATTTATGTAAATAAATAATATGCAAGAGTGAATCTGACATTCAGTGATGGAAATAAAAAGAAAGAAAATTATTTTTTCAATATGTAGATGTATATAAATTATAAATATGCTTATGGGTATCGGTCAATCTCTAGTTATGTTAATAAGTTACTAAATAGTAGATGATGTTTGTATAATAGTTTTTTTGAATTTTGATGTAATAAATATGAAAAACAATTTTCACTGCCTGTGTGTTTCCAATATTAATTTTTTTCAAAAAACTCATAAATAATCATTTTCCAAAGCGAACTTCTATTTTTTCTCACAAACAATGATGTTTTTGGTGTATCCATGAGGGGTTTCATGTATATTAAACTAGGCCTGGTTTATTCAACTTCTGATAAATAAAAATGCAATCTATAATCCTATTGGTCAACCGGTTACTAGTCTTGTAGACAGTTACCAGCAAGTTTATCGAAAGATGAATGAATTAAACGTATACGTATTATGTACCTACCTTTTTGTGAATTAATAAATAAATAATATTTTTTTTAAGCTTCAGCATGTTATTCAATCCCATTAATTTACAAGGACTCCCAGAAACTCATTGACATATTCATGTTAAAGACAAAAAAGTACCTATTAAAGTGAAAATGCCTTTTTTGTTGTTTTTTTAATGAATTTTTGCTACTTGCGTACCATCTAGTTTTGCGTGTGCTTGGTATAAAATTGTGCCAGTTTGCTAAAATTAAAATAATTTTTGGCTTTCGCCAATGCAACACAAGCGGTATGTAGCATGGGAGAAGTACCAATAATTGTCCACATACAAGACAAACTTTAGGACTCAGACTGGTAAAAAGGTTCATACCTCGAGGGGCCAACGACCACTAAGAAGTGGTCCATCTATCCCCCAAGAAAATAGCTTTTTTTAGAAGAAGCCCTAATTTTTTTTTCACAAACTACCTACCTATAAGATGACGATTCCTAAACAAAATATCTGTAAAGGGAGCAGTTCTGAGCGGAGCGGTGGTAACAACAAAAACAAGGGCAAGAAAATGCATTTTTTGCAATGGATACTGCAACAAAGCACGCATAAATCCTAGCTTCTTCTGAGAGCGAAAAGTATTGGGTACTGACTACCGATTCATTAAATCAAAAAAAAAAAAATTTGGTAATGAAAAGAGCAATTTTTTATCCGCAAAACTTACCTAAACAATGTTTCTTGTATTTTTGGCATTTTTTCAAATTTGAGTTCGTGGTAGTCGTGGTACTTTGCCTCAACTTCTCCGGGAGCCAAGGAGTCAAATCTCAAAAATCGATCCACTACCCCAAACCTAACTTCAAACTGTGAAATTAGTGAAATTATCTATTTTTCCAACATAGGTACCTACCTACTTTTCCAATATCTGGGTGTTCCAACTGTAGATTTATAAAAATATCGATTCTGCATTGTTCAAAATATTTAAAAATAATAAAAAATAATACAAATAAGGCTAAAAATTTGAAAGTTTTCCATCAGGCCATTTCATTGTTCGATAGGATACATGCAGCGACCTCTAGCGTTTAGTCTACTGGAATCGTATTTTATTTGTCAAATTTTGTTCCGGTGACAAATATTTCGTCCATTTCAATTTAATTGTGAAATTTTCCTTCAAAAACTATTGAAATAGGATCAAAGAAGTGCGAAAATGTTGTCGGTCGCTCGCGTTTCCACTAAAATTGCCTCGCAGTGCTTGGAATTATCACAAAATGCTGTTTTCACACAAAAATTCAACTCCTTGGAGAAAAAGCGGGTAAGAGTATTATCAAAATTGTGTTTTTTTTGTGAATTTTTTCAACTATTTGTTGAACGTAACATTTCTTTGTGAACGTATTTTTCTTTTGGCCTTTCATTGATGTAAATTTCCATCACGGACATGTATAGACACAAAACCTTGTCCTTGTGTGTTTCAGAATGTAACCCCTACTGCTTGTATAAGCCCGAGCTGTGACCAATACCATTTTAATAAGTAAGTCACGAATCACTAAAATCCCGCAATAAATCTCATTTCAATTCTCATAGAATAGTGGAGCGAAGTATCACAACGTCAGTGGTTTCACTCACAAAAGACGACGAACGCCTCCCGGTTATGCCGGCTAACAAGCAAACCAATTCCGAAAACGCATTCTATGCCACTCGAACTTTGATTGGTAAAGAATTCAAAAAACTGAAAAGAGACATTACTAATGTGTCTTACGAGATTGTTACGGCTGGAAATGGCGACGTTTGGGTGAAAGGTTCAGATGGCAAAATGTACTTTCCAAGTGAAATTGGAACATTTGTTTTGATCCAATTGAAGGCCTATTCGAACGTTAAAGCTACAAATGCCGTCGTCATAGTACCCGCTCATTTCAACAACTTACAAACCATAAAATATGCTGGAATAATTTCAGGCTTAAACTTGTTGAGAGTCATTTACAAACCAACTGCACCAACTCTGGCTTATTATGGCATGGACAAAACCGTCGAGGAAATCACCGCTGTGTATGATTTAGGAAGCGGTACTTTTAATATATCGATTTTGGAAATTCAAAAAGAGTTTGAGGATAAGTCCACTAACGGTGGAGACTTCGATTATTTATTGATGAAGCGTTTGATGTCTGAATTTAAAAAGAACAGGTCATTGACAAGGCGAAAGACCCAATGGCCATTGAATCAAATTAATAATAATCTCGAACCTTCCAAGATGTTAGCTTTGAGGCTTATTTTGAAATGGGGAGGGGCCATACTTGCAAGACTTGTATGCGATCTTTTCAAAAGAAGCATTTCACCTTACGAACAAGCTCTCATTGTTGATGAGGACGAAGAAGTCGAAATCAGCGAAGCGGAAATGGGTGAAGCTTTTATTGTAGGAGGTGTGAATGCCAAGCCAGAAGTGCAAGAAGAAATCTTTGGCAAACCACCCAGCCAAGCTGTTAGCTTGGATGAAGTTGTAGCTGTCGGTGATGTAGCTCGTTTCCATGACGTCACACCGATGTCTCTGGGTATTGAAACCCTTGGAGGTGTATTTACAAGACTTGTCAATAAGAATACGACAATTCCATCCCAACACTCTCAAGTATTTTCAACAGCCGCCGATGGACAAACTCGAGTTAAAATTAAAATTTTCCAAGGAGAACATGAAAAGGCAGCAAACAATAAAATTTTGGGAATATTTTCTTTGGTTGGCATCCCAGCCGCACCGAGATGTGTGCCACAAATTGAAGTTACCTTTGGTATTGATGCTAATGGTATTTTACACGTTTCTGCTAGAGATAAAGAAACTGGAAAAGAACAACAGAGTACGACCTATTTTTTTGCTTTTTGTGATGGTTCTCAAAGTGGTTTATTTTTTAGTTATTGTTCAGTCTTTAGGTGGTTTCAGAAGAGATGGAATGGTAAAAAATGCCGAACAATATGAACAAGGAAAATACAAAATCGGTACTATTGATCAAGCGGAAGGAAGACTACACGATACTAAAATTCCAATGGAAGAGTACAAATTACAATCACATGGAGAAGATGGGACAAAATTTGAAGAAACCAGTACAGTTGAGGAACCCGCACCAAAACAATTCACCTCCGATATTGACGCTAATGGAACTGTACAATGTGTCTGCTATACTTAAATAAGGGAATTGGAAAATGACAACAGAATTATTTTTTAGATGGTGGTCTGACTGAAGACGAAATTGCAAATGGTAAAATAGATTGGATCGAGGCTTTTAATCAAGCGGAAAAAATGATTTATGGCATCGAAACAAAAATGGTAAAGTTCAAATTGCAAACACCTGAAGAAGAGGGTAAATTTCGAGAAAAAATCCGTGAAGTTGACGAACTTTTGGTTAAAAAAGACGAACATGATGTTGAATTTGAAAAGAGTTTATTGAAACTAAGTGAAATGGCTTTTACAAAGGTTAAAAAATTAATTTCTATCAGTAAATTTGATTTAAATATTTATTTTTTTAGAACGCATCTGAAGGAAAAAGTAGCAGCAGCCAGACTCAGAGCCAGGACAGAGGTTAAAAAGACGGCTCAGTTGTTGTTTTCAGTTTCATAGGTTTTATTTATTTTTTTAAATTTGTAGCTATAGATTATAGATTATATTTCTTGTTCGATTATTCTTGTATATTGCGAAGAGGGGTCTTTTTGCTGTAAGCAAAATGGGAAACTCTTGATGAAATTTATATTATTGTTAATTTTGAATAAATATAATTTGCAGAAAAATGTATTATTGTTTTATTTTTTCAAGCGAAAATTGTCCAGATACGCGCGACTTGAAACTAGATTTCAAATCTGAAGTCCGATGGCGAAGTCAACATTCTAGTACCTGGGTAAATTTACAAATGGAACACGATGGAAGGTTCTAGAAAAATCACTAGACTTGTTTTTCGATATCAAAAACAGTACGTAATAAAATGACTATTTCCGGCGAGACTATTAACATTCACGACCCGAGCGCGAGGTATTCACACATTCTGTATGTAAAGCGCGTAGTTTGTAAGTCATGGGTCAGTTGAAATGAGAGAGTTATTGTTCTATGGACTTAAATAGAAGTGATAAGTGATTGTGGAACTTTGTGAAGTACAATCAATTTAATGAAAATTGTTGTTGGTTAGTAAGGAATTTAAATGACCTGCGGAGTTCGTGGCAATATTTGTACCAAACTATAGGCTCTCTTGATTTTTCCAGATTTTCTATAGAATTTCCTTTTTTTTTTGTCATTTCGAAATAGTAATGTATGCGAGTTAGGCTGGAGTCACCCAATTCCTTAATATTTGTCCTTAATTCTTAATTCCTAAAAAGTTCAATTTATTTAACATTGGTGTTTTTAAAGATTAAGAATTAAGAACAAAAATTAGGAATTGAGGAATTGGGTTAGTTTGGGTTAGCCCTACACTAATACTCTGGACACATAAAGGCCTTGAAGCAATTTTCTAGTGTATTGGAAAATCTATTTAGGTACTTATAATTAATATATAAATTATAAACCTTATTTATTTAATAATTTAAAATTTCACAGAAAAATTAGTGTACCATCCAAATATGTAGGAAATCCCTTCCTGCACGTAAATCCGTTCCTAATAGCATTATAATTAACTAAATAAATATATTAATTGCTAATAAAGAAATATTGCAAGTTAATAATAGGTTTCGTCAGCTAATTATGTACACAGGCAAATTCTTGGCTAAACAGTTTTGCCTAGGTTTTGTTATTCTTGTTTGTAAACGTAAACCATGAAAAACCTCAGTAGGCATTTAATAATTATTTTTATACTATTTTTGGTGTATTTGTTAAATAATTCAAGTGTAGAAGAATCTACGATTCCAGATATAAATAATAAATATGGAATACAGAATTATAAAAAGTGCGAAAAAAGTGGTGGTAGTTTTTGTAAATTTGATTTTAAAATAACTTCTTGTAATCAAACATTATGGAAGACAATAGAGGTAAAAATTTATTATTTATTTAAAAAAAAAAACACTTATTTTAGTGAGTCGTGTACAATAATATTCACATACAGGGTGTCCCAAAAAGATACCGACAACCTTTAAGGGGTAGTAGGGGACATCAAAACAAGCATTTTTGTTTATATAAACATATGTCCGCAAATAAGCCATTTGGGCTGTAGAGCAAAAAAACTGTTCGATACTTTTATTCTTCGCAATAATTAAATCACTGTTTACTTATTAATTTTGCTTATTATCAAATAAATTACGCTGTGTCTAGCCTCCCGGCATCGGTATTCATACGAATCCCGGTTATGGCGCGTTTTAAATGACGTCATCAACAACCACCGGTAACTGTCGTGGATCCTGGCTATTGCTATACAAGATGTTAATAATTATTATATTCATTAGTATTGGGGCAGATCGAGGGGCAGATTTATTATGAAGAGTAAAAAAAGTAAACAAAGTCGACCGCGATAAGCTTTTATTAATGGAAAATAAAATTATGTATGACTTTTTATTATATGTAGGTACAGGGTCATTTTAAAAGTTTGTTCAGCATTTGATCTTGTACAGCAACGCCGTTAATGTCCAGCAACATTACACAGGGTGCCCCAAAATTAGAGGTTAATATTTTAACTGCGGATTCTACATCTCAAATTAAGAGCAAAAATTCCTATAAACATGGGTCCAACAGTACCCTATTTCAGAGATACTGGCTGTTAAAAAGGCTATATAGTCCTGAATACTGAATGAAAATAAACCATACTATTCCCTTTTTAAACCACTACTACAAAAAGTGGATTAACGATCGAAGTACTTACCACTCTAATACCAATATCACAACAAGAAACAATAATACACAAAAGCTATTCCGGATTTAATCACAGCTGCAAGCAGCAAGAGAAACACTAGTTTGAATTTTGAATTTTGAATCCAATAGCCGGGACCCACGATAAATCCCGGCGGTCGTTGATGGAGTCATCGAAAACGCGTCATAACCGGGATTCGTATGAATACCGGTGCCGGGAGGCTAGACACAACGAATAAATTATGGTTTACAATAATTGTTCAAAATGTTGACCATTTACTTCAATGCAAAGATTGCACCGTCGGGTCATTGACTGAAAAGTTTAGTCTACGAAACACCTATTCGTAATGAGGAAGATCTGATAGCAAGGATACTGGCGAGTTGTACCCATGTAGAAGCTATTCCCGGAATATTCCAAAGAGTTCGCGAGTTGAACAATTATTGTAAACCATAATTTATTTGTTAATAAAGCAAAATTTAATAAGTAAACAGTGATTTAATTACTGCGAAGAATAAAACTAAGTACCAAACAGTTTTTTTGCTCTACAGCCCAAATGGCTCATTTGCGGACATATGTTTATATAAACAAAAATGCTTGTTTTGATGTCCCCTACTACCCCTTAAAGTTTGTCGGTATCTTTTTGGGACACCCTGTATATTTAAATCTCATTAACATTTAATTTTAGGAAAGTCAAAAAAATCGCCTAAAATTAGACAAATCTGTTATACACAGAATGCTTTGCGTACCCAAGGATAATTCTCCAATGATATATGGGAAATTATTAATGGAGAAATATGCAAATGGCACAAAATTTGAAGTGTTACAAATGGATTGCGTAAACCAGTGGAATTTTACTTATAAAAGAATTTATTGGTAAGTGCATAACTTTATATTTTGCCTAACGTTTGGTAATTAACTGTTTTCAGGACAATAATTGGTGTGTATGCATTTATTATTTTTTGGGTCACAAAATATAATAATAATAGTAGATTTTCGTTTATAAAAAATGCAAAAAAACTACTAGAAGACTGCCCCTCTAAGGATTTTCGAAGTCTAAAGTCTATACAAGGTATTAGGGTTCTTAATACGTGCCTGGTTATTTTCTGGCACACCGTATTGAGTTTGGCTCAAACTTATATTAATGATGTTGCTCCATTGGAAAAGGTGAGAATTGTATGGTTTATTATGCGTAGAAAGTATACCTTGAACTCGAAGCGTTTCCGAGTCCATACACTATTATTTTGAAATTGATAATATGAGATATAGGCCAAGCAATGAAGGAAGTTTACCTCAACATAATTAGAAGTTAACATTTTTTGGGGGGGGGGGATCGGTTCATTTTCATGTGCTTAATAACATATTAAGTTTGCGACCTTGTACTTCCATAGGGTTTTTAGTTAGGGGTGGTTTTTAGGGGTAATTTGCGGTTTATGGAGAACGCTGCTCAAAGGGATGGTCCAATAGCAAAAACTTTTAAATGAATGTTGTAGCTGGAGTTTTTTGCTATAAAAAACTCAGCGACAGCACCCCTTCATCTTCCATAGTTTTTTTTCTGCATCGTCTTGAATAGTAGCATGTTTTTGTTCAAGGTTACTGAATCAACGTTTTGCCATTTTGCGCGCATTTGTTGCAGCAGCGGCCGAATGCATAATCCGATTTCAATTTCTCAAACACCACATTATTGCTAATGAAATGCACTCTCCATTGCTTTTTTGTTCGAATTTTTTGCTTGAAAATTAAGCGAGCACGGACTTGTCTAATGTGCGAGGAAGTTGTAAATTGCATCGAAAACTACCCCTTTCTTGCATTCACTGTAATTTCTAAACGGGGCCAAATATTTGGTGACAGTTTTCAACAATCGGCAGCCCATTTATTCCTCTCATAATGCTCCAGCGGATTTTTTTTTTCGTTAATTACCTAATGCATGGCGCTGAAATTTGGTACGATGGCTTTATTTATTGTTCTCATGAATATACTGCAATTTTATATCATGTGAAGCAATTAAAATTGCAGTATATTCGTAAGAACAATAAATAAGGCCATCGTACCAAATTTCAGCGCTATGCGATAATTTTAATTTTTTTTTACTTTTTGAAAAATCCCGCGCGACGTTTTCAGGCCAATAAGTCATTAGGTAATTAACGAAAAAAAAAATCCGCTGGGGCATTATGAGAGGAATAAATGGGCTGCCGGTTGTTGAAAACTGTCACCAAATATTTGGCCCCGTTTAGAAATTACAGTGAATGCAAGAAAGGGGTAGTTTTCGATGCAATTTACAACTTCCTCGCACATTAGACAAGTCCGTGCTCGCTTAATTTTCAAGCCAAAAATTCGAACAAAAAAGCATTGGAGAGTGCATTTCATTAGCAATAATGTGGTGTTTGAAAAATTGAAATCGGATTATGCATTCGGCCACTGCTGCAACAAATGCGCGGAAAATGGCAAAACGTTGATTCAGTAACCTTGAACAAAAACATGCTACTATTCAAGACGCTGCAGAAAAAAAACTATAGAAGATAAAGGGGTGCTGTCGCTGAGTTTTTTATAGCAAAAAACTTCAGCTACAACATTCATTTGAAACTTTTTGCTATTGAACCATCCCTTTGAGCAGCGTTCTCCATAAACCGCAAATTACCCCTAAAAACCACCCCTAACTGAAAACCCTATGGAAGTACAAGGTCGCAAACTTAATATGTTGTTTAGCATATTAAAATGGACCGATCCCCCCAAAAAAATTTCAACTTCTTATTATGTTGAGGTAAACCCTCTTTTCAGATCCCCGTTTCTTGGACGCTATCTGTAGTTTAATATCCTAAATTTTCACTATACTTAAGAAACCTACCCTATATATTGATTTAACGGTTTCAGTCTTTCGAAAATCCACTATTCTTTTACACGATGTTCCTGGGAGGGTTTGCCGTGCAAATATTTTTTTTAATATCCTCTTTCCTTCTGACCAACCAAATTTTGGAGATACAAAGACAACATGGCAGTTTTACATTGAAGCATTGCTGCATAATAATGCTCCATAGATTCTGTAGGTAGGTGGGAATTTCATCTAATAATTTAGTGCGTAATTCTAAAATGGAAATTGATTCAGACTATCGCCAATCCTACTGATGACACTAGCGTCTACTACAAGTGGAGTTTACGATTTTTCTCCTCACACGATGGATTTTAGAGATAAATGTTTGAACACTTGTCAACATTATTGGTGGTACGCTATTTTCCAAATCAATTTTCTGTTGCCCATTGATAAAATAGTAAGTCATTTCTTATATTTGCATATGGTTGTTTTAAACTGTATTTATTTTTAATTTTTTTAGTGTATGCCCAATTTATGGTACTTATCAGTTGATACACTATTTTATTTAACTACCGTCATCATTATGTATTTTATTTTGAAGAATAGATTCAACATTTATAAAATGTTGAGCGGAATAATCGTATTCGTTATAACATATTTTGCCTTGTACATATATTTGAATGATTACGAATTTATGTTCCAACCGTATCCCAAGTAAGTATGGTATGATATATCTCAGGCCAGAATTGGGGAGCAAAGCAACAAACGGAATGATTTTGTATGTAAGAATTTGCAGTAGGAAACAAAACTAACATAAATAAATAAAAACATATTGAGTCATTATTTGAAATAATTTGCAAAATACCTAAGCTGATATTGTTCTTTGCTCCTCTAGAGATTTGTGCGATCTCTGGTGGTTTAAAGTACCTACTTTTGATAAATTGCTGATAAATATTTCAGAGCTGTAACAAATATGATTTACTCAAAAACTATGACGCATATCTACATCAATCCGTTATCAAATTACTGTGGCAGCTTGTTTGGATTAATTTTGGGTGCAATTTATTACGACAACAAACACCATAAAAGAGTTTTCAGCAAAGTAAATTATTTTTAATTTTTCGTCTCCTGTTTATTTTCTAATTAATTTTTTTCTAGGCCCAAAAGTTGTGTTGGTACTTCATTTTCACTTGTGTCCCGTTGCTGGCACTACATTTATCTACCTATTCGTACAATAATAGAGCAATCAAGAGCTTCATCGGTGCTGTTTTGAAGCCGCTTTTTGTGTTTCCCCTAGGAATTGGCATATTAGGCATGGCTTTCGGATTAGGAGGATTAATCAAAAAATTACTAGAAAGCAAGGTGATGGTAGTCTTGAGTAATGTTACTTACGGTACCTATGCTTTTAATTTTTATGTAGCGTTTGCTAAAGGGATTTTGTCCGAGGATGTTCTACATTACGAACAACACCATTTGGTGAGATTTTTGTTTCCTTGTAATATTTATTTTACAAATGACTAATTTTTTTTTTAGATTTTATGGATAATTTTTGATTTAGTCATATCATTTATCATCGGAACCATATTTACGATTTCCATAGAATATCCACTAGTGTCCTTATTGAAAGAGTATTTACCGAAAATTGAGAAATCGAAACAAAAATCTAAAAATTATGATATTGTGTCAAAAGACAAATATTCTGAACATAATAAATGCTAATTAATATACGTGTGTTTCTATATTATAATCAAAACACAAAAATGGAATTCCAAAAAATATTACCTCATAAGCAAAATATGTTGTGGATATGTCTGTCAACCGCAGCAGAATTCTAAAAAACTTAGTGGAGAATTTGTTGCTCATTGTTTACCATATTGTTGTTATTTTTTATTCTTGTCGACATCAAAAAAATGCGACTCTGCCAGCTAGCATAAACAATTTCCCAGCAGAACTCTTTTAGTGGAAAATTTGTTGCTAACTATTTACCTATTTTTAATTTTTTTTACTCGATTTTGAAAAAACAAGATTAGACCAGTCTGACATCCAAGCTACCAACATTTTATTATTTTTTCAATTTAATCGAGTAAATTATGCATGGAAATGTATGGCTAATTTATTGTTCAAGTAATAAGAGGAACCGAGCTTCGAAAAGTCAACTTTTTCGCAAAATATTTATTTACCGCCAGCAGAATGAGTTTATATTATAATGAACAGCGATTTAGTCCAATGAGACTTTTTGACTGGTAAATATTTACATTTACTTCAAGCAGAATCAAATTATATTCGAATATACCAGTGACCCAGACCAGCATATCGATGTTTTTTTTTTATTGGTAGATAATTTATTTACCGCCAGCAGAATGAGTTCATATTATAATATAGGTACAGCGATTTAGACCAATATGTGGAAACTTTTTGACTAGTAAATATTTATTTATCGTCAGCACAATGATATTATATTGTAATATACAGCGACCCAGGCCAGTTTGAATCGATGCTGAGTTTTTTTTGACTGATATAGGTATTTATTAATCGCCAGCTAAACTATTTTATACGATATACAGTGATTTAGACCAATATGGAGACTTTTTGACTAGTACAGATATTTATTTACCGTCAGCGGATTGATATTATATTGTAATATTCAGCCACCTTGACTAATATATTATATTTACTTACCGCCTTCAGAATGAGTTTGTATTATAAAATACAGAGATTAAAACGCCCTACACACGTAACGATTTATCGTACTGCATGCAGTACGATATCCATCGAAACTGCCGCATTAACGATAAATCGTAGCATGTGTAGGGAAATTGGATGGTTTACAGTATGAAGTCGTCAAATCGTTTGCAGTAGGGAGCTTCCGTAAAATATCGTATCAACGGGTCGTGTCTGGGGTGCGGGGTTTGAGCGCAACGTGTGTAGTGTATTCCTGCCGCAGCGCGCAGTTACGATATAATTTTATTTTTGGTTTAATCAATATTATGGATTTAAAAAATAAGACATTCTGGGAAGACCTTATTGATTTATATAGAGAAAATAGATGCCTATGGGATGTGAAATCAAAAGATTATGCAAATCCATCAAACACGTAAAGGCATCCGAATCCATTCTTAAATAGTTTTTAAAATCAAGAGGTTCTTCTTTTTCCAGTACTTTTAACAGCCTCATATATGAATATTTCTTTCTCTCCAGCAACCACTTTTTACACCATTTTCGCTTTTTGATTTCTTTTTGTTCATCATCTTCATCTATCAGCAATACCGCAGCTACAAGCACGGCAGCTTTCTTCTTTGAAATTCTTGACATAACGGTATGGGGTAGCCCTTCTCGACGAAAACTGAATAATCTGAACTGCGGCAGTACAATGTGTTGCATCGTGTGTACAAAAAATGGCTGTACTGCAAGCCGTACGATTTTTTTTACGATCTGCAGTTCAACGCGCAGTACGATAAATCGTTACGGTTACGTATGTAGGGCGTTTAAGACCAATATGGAGACTTTTTGACTGGTATAACTATTTATTTACCGTCAGCGGAATTATTTACTATTGTAATATAAAGCGACCCAGATTAGTATGGAGCGATGTTGAGTTTATTTAGATACTGCCAGCAATTTTTTTTTATATTATAATATACCTACAGCGATTTAGACCAATATGGCGACTTTTTGACTGGTAAATATTTATTTACCACCAGCACGATGAGCTTGTCTATAATATACAGTAACTGGCCTTTTTAGAAAACGCTGATCCGATTAACCGGATCACCAGCTGATGATGTACTTTCCCTTTTTTTAGTCGTGTGATCATTAAAAAAAGATGAAACACAATCAGCTGGTGATCGGGTTAATCGGATCAGTGTTTCCAAAAGACCCATTGATTGCATCGTCTGGTGGGATATAGAAAATCCCATGTAATTTTGAATTGGGTCAATTCATAAATTGTTGTATTTTTTCGGTAAATTATTGCCTATCTTTTCGAATAGTTTCTCTTTCTAATCGTCCCCCGTATCAACGGACACTATTATAATATTTCTGTGATAATTACTGGCAGTGACTTAAATGACGTAAACCATGAAAAACGTCAGTAGGCATTTAATCATTATTTTTATACTATTTTTGGTGTATTTGTTGAATAATTCAAGCGTAGAAGAATCTACAATTCCAGATATAAATAATAAATATGGAATACAGAATTATAAAAACTGCGAAAAAAGTGGTGGTAGTTTTTGTAAATTTGATTTTAAAATAACTTCTTGTAATCAAACATTATGGAAGACAATAGAGTTGAACAATAAATTATTTATTTTAAAAAAACACCTATTTTAATGAGTCGTGTACAATAATATTCACACATATTTAAATCTCATTACCATTTAATTTTATCAGGTTTTTTTAGGAGAGTCAAAAAAATCGCCTAAAATTAGACAAATCCGTTATACACAGAATGCTTTGCGTACCCAAGGATAATTCTCCAATAAAATATGGGAAATTATTAATGGAGAAACATCAAAAAATTTGCAAAAATATGGCGGCAGGGGCGTGGCTAACTTCTATATTCATATTCAAAATTTGCAAGCATATGACGGCGGTACCGAATTTCTATTTGAAAAGGTGAAGTCACTGTAGGTGGGCCGGGGCCATTGGAAAGGGTTGAAAAGGAAACAACCAATCAAATACCTTGACGATACATGAATCCCGGAAAGGGGCGGGGCTCAACTAACCAATTAAATGCCCTGCTGATATCATTCGCATCCGATTGGAAAGGGGCGGGGCCTATATCCAACCTATCAAATGCTTTGTTGATATCCTTGCGTTTGATAACCAGTCAGCCACAGTGTTGCCAGCTTGATGGAATTATCCCCTTTTTGCCTTTTTGAGGAAATTTTCTATTTTCGTTCGCAAAAGGGTAGAAGCGGAAAGCGGTATTTTTAAAATCTGTTTTTTTTTTTAAAGATAAAAGTCAAAATGACATTATGTTGGCAAAACAATTACCACACGTTTTCATGGAGTTTTCAAATCGTTTCGAATCCAATCCTTTTCCCCGTTTTCATGCAGAGGCAAAATTAGAATTGAAATCGAATTGCAAGTTTCTGAATTTAAATCTCGATACGATCCCAAAAAAAGGTGAAACGACCTTGAGACTGAAATCGATTTCAGTACCCTATTTTCATGGCGTTTTCAATACCAAAACTGTACTCAAAACGATTTCAAAACTCCATGAAAACGTAGTAAATGTTAAATTGTCGATGCTTTCAAATTTTTTATGTAGAGAAGGCTTGTGTTTCCAACATAGTTACTAAATTTTTGACTTGGGGAATTATCTTCAAAAAAAAAAACAGACTTTACTTTTTCTTTTATTTAGTCGCAAAATTTTCATATTCAATGAAAAATTGGTAATTTTAAGTTTCTAGCACACGATATACAATAGGTATACAGGGTGGGCCATTGAACTTAAGACATTATTGACCTTTTTTTTTTCAAAAACGCGCTATTTTCGAGATATTGAAATGTCTCAATTTAAATGGACCACCCTGTATAAGTATGGGTACAACATCTCATTCCCGACTGTAAATGAAGGCGCAATAATTGTTTTTTTCCATTACCGCGCGTAAAATACTTACGTTACGCACCTTTTAGAAGACATAAAATGTCACGCACCAGTGCGTAAAGTAGTTTTTTTACTACTAACCTGAGAAGTAGTCATTAGGTCTATTTCTGCAGAAATCACAAACCAGTCAGAGCAAATTTCATTGGTTGAAAACAGTCAGAAAACTAGTTTCAACCAATGAAATTCACTCTGACTGGTTTGTGATTTCTGCAGAAGCAGACCTATTATTCCATCCTCCTCCCTAGGTTATTAATGAAAATAATGAAAAAATACCTAGGTCAATAATGAAAATGACGTCATGGCGCAAGGATATTGTCATAACGTAACAGGTTTCTATTGGTTTAATTTCATTGTCAAACTGTCAATTTTTAAAAAAGCAGGTTCCTTTATGTACATTATAGGAAATTACCGTAAGCTGTTGATAGAGGGCAGCACTTCCGACAAGAGAAAATAATTTGAGCACAGGTTTCAAACCTATTTTTTATTTTCTACTAGCAGTAGTAAAAAAATTTTTATATATTCCTCGGTGGAGAAAGTCATTATATACCTTATAATGAACAACTTCTCTACCTATGTATATAATATACTATTATTTAATTTGCCGCAAAATCGTTATTGTGTGTGGTCGGCAATAGGTCTGTTCTCACAGAAATCACAAACCTATCAGAGCGAATTCATTCGTTGAAAACAGTCAGAAAACTGGTTGTTGGCGATTTGCACCAATCAAAAATGCTCTGACTGGTTTGTGACTTCTGTGAGAATAGATCTATTATACCTATGAGTCACTGCTAGCAATTTTGATCGCAGATTATAGTCAAGGTTAAAGTGAAAAGTGAATGACAGTCAAATGGAGTTGTCTTTAACCTTTCAAATTTAGGGCTTGATTTGCCAAAACTTAGTTAAAACTGTGTTAGAAAAAGACTTTATACCTATCTGTAATATAAACATGACAAAAACTGATACAAATTTTTTGCTCGAAAACTGTTAGATATTAACCTATCAAACTGCGTATAGTATAATTGAAATAGCCAAAAGCAGAGCTATCCAATGAGTAAATGATATACAGGACATCTTATTTAAAAAAACGTATGTTTGGCTCTTAATTTCGAACTATTACTTCTAGAAAAAAGCTGACTCCGCCACTGGAATCTACGTCAAAGGAACTGAACCCGTGGTGGTCACCTTTTCGATCACTTGAGAGAGAACCGAGCCAATTAACAACCAAGATATTCCTTATTCTTTGGTTCAACCAAAATGGGACACCCTGTACCCAACTATTTCAACTTTCTCATGTTTTTTGTTTTGTAGTAAACAGAGTATTCTATGCGCTCGGGTGAGTATACGGAAGGAGTAGACAGAGTATACTCTAAAACTTATTATTGACGTTTCATGAATAAAAATAAGGACAGGACTGCTTTTCAAGGCAAATATTGAACGTACCCCAAAAATATAATTGTCATAACCACAAGAGGTTCCGTTTATTCGTATAAATTTTACTTCAATCTATCTACTCCAAGCAAAAATCTGCCTGTCACTCCATTGCGTGCTAGATAGCAGAGCCCCGTGTTGCCAGATGTAGGAAATTTACTCTTTCTTTAAAGAATGGGAAAAGAGCGAATTTTTGATAAAATGGGACACTTTTCCAAGAATTGTGCTATGCGAAAATCCGTCTCAATATACAGTCGGCAACACCGCCGAGGACCAGACAGATTTGGCACATATTTTTAACCATATTTTTTTAAATTTGAGGTTAGATCAAATTTCGCTGATCGCCAAATTTCATATCACAATCACTTTCATTTTGTCAAATTTAGTAACTCGAGAAGCTTTTTGTGCAGTTTTGTGAAAGAAATAGGCAAAAAATATTACAAAAAGCAAATAACAGAAAAGTAAATAGTCGAAATTAACACTGATGGCACCCGTTGAGGAAATTGATAGTGGCATGGAATCACCCGAAGTATCCCCTTCTGCAGAACCTGCAACTGAAAAAGAATCACAGGAAGAAGAGATACTACGAGAACCCGAGCCTTTATCGAAAAAACAAGCAGCTATTGAGAATACAGATTATGATGAGGAGGCAAGTTCATACAAATAAATCTCCTCTTAATTCTATATTATTAAAATCTATTCCCAATTTACATAAACCTGCTAAGTAAACAATCAAATGCACTGACATTGAATATAGTTGGAAGCCATACTTTCTATATGATTTATAGTCAACAGGATTTCTTCAATTTAACATTCTGAATCTTTGCCTTAATCTTAATACCTAAAATATTCACAAAAAAATTTAAAACATGTATTTTTTGGCATTCAAAGTTTGTCCTAGTGTCTTTTCTAGCTGAAAAAGTGCCATCATCTATCAGAAAATGTGCCTGTGACCTGTGATCACTGAGAGTTGTATGCTCGGTTGTATGACTTCTGTGGAGCATGTACACTTGAATTGAAATTTTAAATGTATGTGAATTTTTAGGTATATCAACTATAAATACTCACTTCCATGGGTTTTGAGCATCCAGAATCAGAAAATGTTATTTTCCAAAGAAAAAAATTGACAGAGCTTAAAAAATATATATTGAAACTTAAATTCTAAATCTCAGCAATACAAAATGAATTATAGACATAGAACTTAAATACAATTCAAAATCCAAAGTCATCAAAGCATATAGACTAAAAAGCATCCTCATAAAACACTTCTAAACTATAGTAGTTCAACATTTTACAAAACTCTTGAGATCATGGAGAGTTTCCCACTTATTTGGCAAATAATTGTATATCTTTGAACTTTTAGACATTGAACAGTTTTTGATGTCACTGCTACTATGTGTTTTATAGTTTTTGTGCACTAACAATGTAAGGATTCCGTCTTGAAAAAACAGAGGTCTACAATGGTCTTTAGCCTTCAATTTGCATTCATACCTACCTAAGACAAAATTAATTTGAATTTGAAATAGTTATTCTATCACAGAGCTCTCTAAAATTGATTTTTTTTTTCATTTTTAATTCTAATATTTAAGTAAAGAACAACTGCATACTTTAGGTAGATACTTATAGGTACATTTATTGTGTGAGACCTCTATTAGCATCTGTAAATTTAAACATCAAATGTAAAACTTGCGAATATATATTTATCTATTTTTCATATTATGTATCCTAGCTTGAGGAAACCTTGGCCGAACGTTTATGGGGTCTTACCGAGATGTTTCCACCATCAGTCAGAAATTTCACCTACTCCACGATTGTAAATGCACAGAAAGCTTGTTACAAAACGTACAATTTCTCCAGAGGTGCAGCCTGGGTTGTTTTCACTTCGTCACTTATTTTATTTGCTCCTGTGCTCATGGAAGTTGAACGTGTTAATATGGAGGAAATGCAGAGAAGCCAGCAAAGACAGGTAATTTGTGATTTTCCATGACATCTTCATTCAATTCCATTACCATATATTCACTTTTCTTTAAAAATGTCTTCATCTTTGGTTTTTAATTTAGATTTATTACCTATATGGTACAGGTACAATTTCTTTCGAATCTTTCAAAGAAATGATCTTGATAAGAGATGTGCGGTGAACATTTCCTTGCCAGAGCTGCCAGGAACACAAATAACTTGTTAGGCACTCATTTTTCATATATCTTTTTGATGAATTACTGTCAAACGTTTTTTATTAGATTGAACTAAAATCCTTGTTCCATACAAACATTGATGAAATTCATAAATAACATATACACATCGTTTTTCTGTCTCAGTTGAAGATCTTCAACAAGATGCTACAGCATGAGCCTAAAATATTTGTCTTTGGAGTCAAAAACTTGCATTATTGGAATATTACTTATTAATTATTTGATATTAGTGAAAGCATTATTTCACTCTAAATTCTAATCAAATTTAATATATTTTTTTTTAACTTTCCTTACGAAAACTTGATTAGGCTTAATGAGGAATATTTTTCTTAAGATAATTTAGACTAGACTAATTTGAATTTGTATTACGTTCGTATTTTGATTTTATTTGAGGAGCCCTGAATTGTATTTATTTTATTTTTTATAGTTATTATTGGGTCCCAATTCTGCAATGTCTGGAAATGCTCCGCCCCCACTGATGCCGCCAGTACAACAAAGATAGAATCGTGTTCCAACAAGATCTAGATAGAATTCTTAGTATTTATGTATATTATAACAATTCACACTGTAAATTATATGTAACTTGGTTATTTACATAGTGATATTGGGGTTTTATTGTTTAATTTTGCATTTTTTTTAAAGGGTGAAATGCAAGATACTTTTTAGCTATTTTGAAATATACCTAGTAGTTTGAGTTACAGAACGAGGTTTTTCATTTTTTGATATGTACAATTATTGTCTATGCTACCTTACCTTACTTTGATCCAATTTACAAAAAAGCAAATTATTGAGGTATCAGGCCCCCCCATGGGAGAGACTTTGATTGTTTTATTGGAGGAAGTTCATCAGTGGTGGTACTGAATAAAATATTTTCGATTTTCTCTAAATAAATCATTATATTTATAAAAATGAAACGACAGTTTTACTAAAATGCATTTATTACAAGGAAAACAATAAAATTGAAATAGTTATCATATAAAAATCTTTTAACAACATCCTTATTTAGTTTATAACAAATTAGATTCAAATTTAATATTACTAGGTCTGGTAAAATCGAAATAGAACTACATAAGGTAGATACTAATTTCAAAATGTCTTCGAACAAGTTTACATACAAGATGAATTCATGTTGGAAAATTTGGCTTTTTTGACCATGATACCAACCTGTATTATTGTTTTATTATCACCATTTAATAATTACAAAGTTTGAATATTAAATATAGATTATCTAAAAACTAGTAACAAACTTGCTTGTACATATGCAATACGGCCCATATCACAGACCAACACGCTTAAAAACGATTAAACTTTTGGTATTTACCAATCGGTTTTTTGATTATATCATCTTTTATCTTGTTCTTTTATCGTACAAAAAAATATAAACTTATCAAGAAATATAAATGGTAGTTATTCACAATAATTGATTTCTTCCAAAGTGTTGCAGGCATCCAAAAGAAGTTGCGTCAACTTATAAAATTCTTTTTGATCTTCTCCTATACAATGTAACGCTTGATTACCAAGCGTCTTTATATTGGGCAGATTGCTTGGAGAGCACCAAGTACCGTTCTAGTATAATTAAAAAAATATTCATTTATTTGCAAGATAATTTCCAATCTGCACTTACCAAAGTTTGAATGTACCTAGACAAGAGCGGACTTAGAGCTGCAATGTTCTCGCTCAAATTGGGAGAGGACGATAGATATTGAGACAATCTATTTCCAGCTACTTTGAGTAGCTCTTCGCCTAGGGCACTTGTATCTGTTACAGCCGGAATTAAGTCTTGAGCCACCAAGTCGTATCCGCTAACATACAGTTGAATAATTTGGAACCTAAAAAAAAGTTTGTTGAAATGATTTTTCTAGTAAACAGTTATTCAATTTATATCTTCAAATTCAATTTTTGGCCTTTAGAGTGGATTGAAGCTTTTCTAAGAAACAAATAAATTTGTTTTTAGAGAAACAAAAAATTATAATATCTAAAATCGGGCAAACTTATTTGCATGTAAAAATAAAATAAATCAATTATTATTTATACCGTCTAAGATTGTCAACATCCAAATTCCATATTCTAGCCAGCATCAAGCTTTTGTCCATCCATTCGACATGAATTTGACAGTGAATTTCGCCTGTCTCGTCCAAAGTTACAGTTTCCAAACTAGACGTAATGATTTTTCGTAAAAATTGCTCCCTTGACAAGTTGATTTTAATTTCAGATTTATTCCAGTTAATGTCCACTCGCCTTTGTAGATCTGAAAAGCCAAATAATTAAAACATTGTGAGACTAGATAAATATCCCTTACCAGAGAAAAATAGATTCACTAAAGAAGCCTCAAATAAATTATTGACTGGTTTCGAATGTTTTACTGTAAATTTGGTAAGCATGTGCATCACTAGACAAAGTTGATAATGTAAATGTAACAAATTGTCGTCTACTTCTTTTTGTTGGACAGCCAATTCTATCAAAGGCTGAGGCCCTCCGTTTTCCCAAATAGCCTCAAACTTAAGTTCTGGTTTTGTAATATCACAACCGTTTTGACACAATTCAAGGAATGAATTCATAAATTTTGTGCAAATACCTAAAATGAAGGATTTCTGAAAATGTTTTCAATTAGAAATGCACTCACCAATAAATTCTGTTATCTGCTTGTCCGATAGACCAACATCCTGCTGACACAACCTCTCTTTTGGCAATTTTCCAACTTTATTTATTAACTTACAACTACTTTCCACAACAATCTTCAAATGGGTATTCCAAATCAACTGAAATATGCCTTTCCTTACGCATAGACCCGATACAGCATTCAAACATGTTAAGGCTGCCTCAAGATATTCTAAATTGGCAATATCTTTTCTCCAAGAGAGGGCATATTCCCAGCACATGTTTGCCAATAAATTATCAGCATCTAAACTGTAAGGGAATTGCTGCTTCAACAAATTTAAATATTTGAATACTGGCTTGGACTTGACTTCTTCAATTTTATTTAAATGCATTCCCTCAGTAATTTGATATTCATTTAATTCCTGGTCGAGTTTTTCTAGGTCTATTTCTACGCTTCCTGGTTCAGTTTGCAATATATCTATAAATGAAAAGCTGGATAAATATATCATTCGTTCACAGAACATTCAAATGTCCAAATTATTTACTGGCAACTGGACCGATTTTTCAGTTAGCCAGTTAATCTGACTGAAGTCAATAATTAAAACTCAATAAATTATTGAGACAATTAACAATTTCTATTTGAAAAATAGAAATAAACTGAAAACGAATCAATAATCACCTACCTTTTTGACTGTTTTGGTAGATTATCTCATTGATGATGATATATTGTGGATCCATACCGCAGGTTGTCAGCCACTGGGCAGTCAATTCGCTCACAGAACCTCTACCGTGCTGCAAAATGTGTTTTAAGCTCACATTTACTTTCTCATGATCTAATTTAGGCATTGATGAGTTCGTAAAAAGCGGTTTGCTTGAAAGAATTATGTTCAGAGTTGAAACGTCTTCTAGTTTACCTAGAACAAAAGAACTTTATGTAAGTAGGTATGCAAAACATATAATTAAGGCTATTCAAAGGCAAACAAAATTAGCCCTTTATACCAATGTTTAGTTTAGTGTATGTATAAAGTACATATTTCAGGCACTGTCCCTGGGAAAATTAAATTTAATAACTAGTTTATTACCTATTAGCAAAGACCACTGTATATTTTCTTGTGTCAGCACCTCAATATTATCTTCCAAGTTTTCTAATTCGAATCTCTGAACTGCATTTTTAAACAGCATGGCAGCCATTAATGCTGGAAACGGTCTTGAATTATTGGCCAAACTTTCCCTAACGTTTTCCCAAAATATCGATACGCCGTCTTTTTCAATATCGGCCATCATTTCTTTGCCAGCCATTTTCACCAGCATTGCAATAAGCTGGGAAAAATTCGACATATCTTTGCCTAGATTCAAATTTATGTCCAAAGATCTGTTGACCCAATATTTAATCAGCAGGTCGAACAAGGAACTGATTGGAATTCCACTGCCGGAAATGGCATTGAAGAAATCGTCGAAATTGTTGCATTCTCCTGATATGTACTTTTTAAAAAGAACCTATAACAATTTGGGATTTTGGAAAAGTGGAAATTCAAATCTTAAAATACTCACTTCTGATGTTTTAAATAATAGATCCTCTTCAAGATTGTCCTTCAAAGAAACACCTCCTGCCTTGGTTAAATCAAAACTAGCCAAAAAATCGTGAACAGTAAATATGTCCTTTGAAAATCTAACATGAACAACCTTCAAGTCAACATCTTTACTTGAGGTAACTAAATCCAAGAGTTTTTGCAAACCTTCCAAATCCCGTACTTCCAAATTCAGTGTTTTGTGATTTTGATCTTTATTCTCTGTATCATTCCCATTTTTAAAATCCTCATCGACATTGCTACTCAAAGTTACAAATAAATAGAGTTCTATTAAAGCTTTGACATTTCTACAAACGGTTTTACAGTTCAGTATAACTTCGTTATCCGTATTTTCTCTTAGTTGATTCCAAAAGTAATCAGTACACATCAGAATAATTTCAGGAGATATATTTTTACTGTTAAGAAGCATATCTAAAGTTTGAGTTTTAATCTCTACTGTTTGAAGCTCAGTACAAATATTGTATGTTTCATTTTCAAGCGCGTCCTGACTCAAACATCCACTTTTGATGAATTGCTTCAGCTTTTTATACAAATGTATGTCTCTCGCTCTAATACTATTCTTTTCAGCCAAAGCAAAATGGAATGGAACGCTAATCTCTCTTATTTGTCCATCATTGTCCAAAAACAAACAAGTAAATTGGCAAATATAACGCGATTTTGAGGTTGTTGTAAAACCCATTAAACCGTGAGTGATATAAAGTAGTTTGCTTTGTTTGGAAGCAGAGAAAGTTGCGATTTTTGTGCCCTGCTGGACGGTGAATATTTCCAGTGTGCCTTTTTTAGGAGAGTAGATTACTAGGAACAAAGCTACCTTGTTGCCAACTCGGTGTTTCGATCTTCTTTCATCCGGAACCTACTCAACAAAATAGAAGGTGAGTTAAATATTTTTGGATTAAAATAAATTTAATTTTTGTTGCCTATGCCGACATTTTAATAATAAATTTTTTTCACCTGTAAAAATGCACACTGTGCCTCCCTATAACCCTTAAATATCTTAGTTATGACTCCTTTGAAAGAATCAACCAACAGCACTCTGCCTAAGCTATCACAAACTGCGACCAAATTTCTATTTGGAGAAAGCACTAGATCATTTCCTGTTCTTCTGAGATCAGCTAATCCAAAACGAAGTCCCATTGCTTCCACCGGTTGCATGGCTATTGTTACTTCTTTTGTATCACTAGGTTTAGCACCAGTTATCCAACTCCTGTGAAAATGAAAATTTAATAAACCTTATTAATTATAAATTTATTAAGTACTCTACTCACGGCAAAGCAGACTTTAATTTGCTAGCTACTGCTTTGGCTACATCACTCAAAACAGGCTGATTCACCCCTTCCAGAGCATAATGATAACCTAGTTAAAATTTTATTATTATTATTGTAATATTATAAATCATTTTTAGGTACCTAAAAATGGTTTCGATCCAGCAGCCAAAACCAAAGTACTATTAGGAGCTGTGTTTCTATATTTTGTGTCAAATCCGCCACATATTGAAGCAGCTAGCAAATGATCGAATGTGTTAGACATTGTAAGGCCTACAACTGCTACATCATTAATTAGACCTTGATCTTGAAATCCCAATTTCTTGACGCTCAAGGGAATAGGTTTAAAATCTGTGATGTTTCCTTTGGCTTGAACTTAAATAAGTAGTTTGTATAATAATTATATTTTCGGATTCTTATGAATACCTCTTGCCAATTGGCTTCTACAATTTCTTAAATTTTCAAACAATTGTTGTCCATCAACGACACAAATGTTGCTCTGATATTGAATATATAATTCTTCTGGATGTAATTCAGGAGATATGTCTGGTCGAGGGCTGTGCTGGCTTTGACATTTAATATTTGTTATGTTTTCATTGTGAAATTGCTCTTCCATAAGCAAATCACATCTGTCAGTGTAAAATCGAACATATCCTGAATCAAAACCTACAATTCAAATAGTTCAATGAAATGAAACATTAAAAAAAAAAAGTTTTAACACAAACCAATAACAATACAGGTCCAATCGGGTCCTACATGGGAACTGTGACTTTCTCCCACAATAGGAAGACAAACAATTGATTTAACTTTGTCATATTCGTGAATTGAAGCAGAAAAATTTATCTGGAAAAGACTTAGTGATGACGAAGTGTCCCATTTCGAATTTAAAATCACTAATCTACGTTCGTTGGCTAGGGCTATGAGATCTCCAGTAGGTGAAGCTGATATTTTACAGTTTTGCAGCCAAAATTCTGTTCCTAGAACAAACAAAAAGATTCATCTTAGTGGCCAGCCAATGGTAATTAATAATTATCAATATGAAAAGCTTATGTATTTTATGTGGTTGTAATTTTGTTCATATAAATGACAGTATGACAGTAAATATATAATTACCATAACTGCAGCACTAGACGTAATGAAAATCGTCATTCAAATACGACTTTTTGTGATAATAGTTCAGGAAAGAAAATCCTAATTCTTTCACTCAATTAGTTTCAAATTGTATCATTGTACCTTTCTTATACACATTATGTAATTATTCACTTGTAGGCTCTGTTTGTAAATGGTTTTGGTTTTTTAGTTGAATACTCAAAAATCGAGTCAAAAACCTAAGTGTGATATAACTGAACTTTTTTTGTTTTTGTATTTCGGTCATTTCCAAGAATAATCCTTATGTAAATTTATTTCTGCTCGTGAAATTTTAATCTTACTGCAATTAGGTTGATGTCTAGTATCAATGGAATGTTTATCTATAAAAGTGTTTTTTTTCGACGGTTTCTTCTAGGGTTTCTTTTAGCAATCTTATGTCACACTTATGTCCTGACATTCTGTTTGTAATAGTTGATAAGTTTGGCCTATGTAAATTTTATCACAATTTGTACATGGAAGTTCATAAATAACATTGGTTTTTTTAGCCATTACTATAAATTTTAAACTACTCAATCTTTCTCTACAGTTTTTCTTTGTGTAAAAAATATATCTGGTGAAGCAGTTCGTAGTTCTTGAGACTGTATTTTTGATCTGAGAGCACCCACAGAAACACTTTTGATGTTGCTGTACACAAAGGTGGGCACAGTTAATCGAAAAGTTAACTTCGCTAATCGTTAATTCGCTACTTAAAAATTTAACTTCGATAATCGTTAAATTTTTGAGAATATAACGCAAGTTAAAGTTATCCATTAAGAGTTAAATCATCGGAAAGTTATACTGATTTTTGAAGCTATTTATTTTATAAGTAATAGATTATTGAAATAGAATAGGCTGGGCTAGGGTATCGGGTATAGTATTTTTAATACCTATTTGGAAGTACCAGTCGTTTTAGTGATTTGTTGGTAATTGATGAACAAGGATGGTGTGATTCCATCCAAATGGGTATTAAAAATACTATACCTACACTCCTACACAGGTGAATGTGAATAAATAAAACAAAAAGTATCTAGATCTAAAAAGCGGCACTTTTTCCAATTTAGGTAGCTGCTTAATTTACCATTCACCTCTGCAAGAAAAACAAGCTTATAGAACAATGCAGAGTAGACAACGCCACAGCCCAACGATACGCCTCAGCTCACAGCTTACCTAACAACAGATCAACTAAGGGCTTGCGCATCGATCTCACTGTACGGAATCGGGTTTGGAGTCATTCCAGAACAGTTCCAAACTGCGTAGTGTAGCGAACTGAAATTTTTCTACGTCTGTGCGAACTGTCCCGATTGACATTAACGCGCAAATCAAGCAAACAAAATGACGTCATTTACGAGCGTAACGGACTAAAGTTAACGAAAGTCCAATGTAACGGAAGTTAAGAAAACCGTTAATATTTTTTTAGGTTAACTTAAAAGTTAAATTTAAGCAATTTTTTTAACTTCGTTAATTAACGGATAACGGATTAACGATTTTCTGCCCAGTTTTGGCTGTACATTTTCATCTGTAAAGTTTGTCTCAGCTTCTCAATTTGTCTAGAAAAGCTGCTCTCAGATTTGTTGAGAGAGTTACTTGAGATTGATAGCATTTTTAGCCATTACTATACATTTTAAACTACTTAATCTTTCTCTACAGTTTTTATTTGTGTAAAAATATGTCTCGTAGAGCTATTTGTAGTTGTAAAAGAACATTTTTTTATTTACATAGCAACTGGAGACGCTTACCCTGGAGTTAAAACCAACCCAGAAGTGACTCGCTATTGAGAAACTAACCCTAAATGGTTTTTGAAGCATAATAAATGCTTGGTTACTGATTATTTATCAGTATTTTGTACAAATTGTCTCTTGGTTGATTGGTATTGATATTCGTATTAAAAATTAATTTAATTTAACAAAACATTATTAATAAATTAAATTAAATTTGGATATACATTTTTTGATAAAATTTGTTTAACTTTTTTTTTGTCAAGTAGGTATAGATGAACTAGTTTTTCAATTCTGTTTATTAAAGTCAGCATTAGATAAATTTTTTGTCTGTGGCCTGTGATATGAGTGAAAATTAATGAATCTTCCAGACATCAAACACTGTTGACGCTGTATGTATTATGCCTTTTTTGAGTCTGTGACTGCATATGGCTGGGGAAACTCCAAGGGTAACTCAGATAACGTAATTGGATTGGTACAAAATATACAAAATAGGGTAATCAAACTAATATTTAAGAAAAAAAGTTTTCAACTTAGAGAAGTTTATCAAAAAAATAATAACTTGAATATTAGACAAAAATGTATTATCAAAAAGCCTCACTTCTACATTTTAATAAACTAAAAGTACAATGCCAAATTAGAATTTCAGTAACAAGAAGGCGACAAATATGATTAGTAGAACCAAATATATTAAAAAACACAAGTAAAATAATTCTGAAAAAAACACATAATACTAAAAATTAAGGAATGGTTATGTCATAATAGAATTTATGTAAATTTGTAATTATTATTGTTATCTATTATTATTATTATTAGATAAACTCCTGAAAAAATATCAGCTATTAGGTTTAGGATTAAGATATTAGCTTAGTGAACTAGTGAATTGACTTCAATTTCCACCCAGGCCTGCATACTGACTAGAAAGTCACTGCAAGATGTATAAGCCGCTTTCCAGCTGTGTACAAGCACGGTGCAGCACAGTGTTCTGTGTTTGAAACGCAAAAGTTAGCAGCTCTCGAAGCGCAGTACGGCTGGAACACTTTGGAGCGGTATCTGTTTGTACAGGGTGTTTCCTCATATTTTGACCCCTGTAGATTGTAGATTGTAGATTTCGGGGGAGTCGTTTCGGCTTTTCAGCCGCTCAGCACTGCTACCTTTGCAGATATTTTGTGCGTGACTCTACATCTTAATTTGTCTCCAGGAAGCGTAGACTTCTGCTGAAGGAAGCTATTTTCCTGGGTGTCAGTTGGCCCACTTCTTCTGGTGACAGTGTTGCCCCCTCGAGGAATTTGAGCCTCTTGCAGAATTGGGCTGGGCATTCGCAGAGCAGGTGCTCTTCGGTTTCTATTGCGTCTGAGCAGAATCTGCAGAAATTCTACCCCTACGTACAGCTTTAGCTATACAAGGTGAAAAAAAAATTTAAACATGCCCTTCTAAAACAAAAAAATTTAAATTGCAAAATTATAATAAAAGACCAAATCATTTGGCACACCCTGTATATTTTTAGCTCTAATGAAAGTCCTTTTTCTCTGTTTCCAAATATACCATATATGTTGATATTTGGTTCAGGTGTTTTTATGCTATTTAAGTTCAAAATGGCTGTAAGTAAGCCTCACTATTGATATAAGGAACCGGGAACAGACCTAATTTAGGGTAATGTAAATGCATTTTTTAACTTGAATAGCGTAAAAACCGAGGTAAAAACAGCTGAACCAAATATCAACATAAGTATATGGCGAGGTATATGGTATATTTGGAAACAGGAGAAAAAAGACTTTTCATTTAGTGTTCAATTTAAAAAAAAAAAAGATTAAGTAGGTAGATCTTTTATTAAAATTTTGCGATTTGAGTTTGTTTGTTTCAGAAACGCCAAAATCTCGGCCAAAATATACTACTGATAAAACCATACAACTTTCATATTTAAAGCGAGATTTAAAGTTTTTTTTCCACCTCGTATAGCTGAAGCCGTAGGTAGGGGTCAAAATATGAAAAAAAAAAACCCTGTACAACACAACATGACATAACATAACATAACATAACATTGTATGTTACTTACATCTAGTTATTAATAAATTAAAAAAAAAAAAAATTAGTTGCCTCAATATACCAACTTGTTAATAGAGTATTATTTGTTCAAATAATTTTTGTATCTAAAAATGAAAAACCTACTATAGTTATTTTCAATTTCATTAGTGAATTAGATTTAGTTATTGTAGCTATTATACTTATGTAAAACTTCTTGGTGTTTACCAAAAGGGATTGCACGAACGATATCATCAACATATTATGATTCTTTTAAAGAGGGTACTTGGTACTTCAGTAGGTGAACAGTGTTCAATAAGATCATCTCTAGAACATATTGTGGTAGTACTGGAGAAATACCTACTACTGCTCATTGGTGTACCTAGTATTTGTTTGTAGAATATATTGTTGAATTATTAGGTTTGTTCCAACCGGCAGTAATTTCCAGTAATATTACTGGCACACATGCGCAATTGTGAAATGCTGTTCCAACCAGTTAAAATTACTAATTTAGAATTGGCGATAATTGACAGTTCGTCGTTCCAACCGGAGTTACGGATAGTAAAATTACGGTTCAAACGATTCTTGCTTGAAAGGAAGAACTGTTGGTTCTAAAATTAGACGCATGCGTAGTGAGGTCGAAAATGGGTCAGTGGTTGAACAACAACGAACATAAATAATAATACATAACCCAGAACCTCAGTTTTTTGTTTATTTAAATTATTTATTTGAAAATGACTGCTATGGAAGTTAAGTAAATTTATTTTATTTGTTCTCAGAGTTAATGAATCTGATTTTTGTCTTATATTAGGTTTAGAAAAAATCCTTATTGTGGTGGAAGATTCACCTGCAAGTAGGTATGCAAGTTATGTTGATTTTGTTGTTTTTATCTTGTGTTATGAGTACTACTAGTTCAAAAAACGTTCCAACAAGTTTTTAAGTTATTTAGTATAATATTACTGTTTTTGATTGCACAGTCGCATTAGCGCAGTTACGAACGATAATATTACAGTAATATTATTGCAGGTTGGAACAAACCTATTGTAAATGATTAGTAGGTACTGAAAATATATTGGATAATTTCTAAAAATTATGATTTTGAGAGACTTTGAAAGAAAGGTTTTTAGCAAAATCACTCGCAAAATCATTTGGGGCAACCTTGTATTTTTTTATTGAACACAACACAGTCTTGGTATAACAACATTTATTACTGAATTTTGGTAAAACTTTTACCCAGAAATATTCATGGTGGTCCAAATTAAAGGACAAATAAATAAGTTTAAATGTAAGTTACCTACCTCGATAGTCATCAGTGGGAAATAAACATCTTCGAATGGCTGGAATATTTTGTATAGTTGCTATTAGACGAATCTCACAAGACATTCTCAAAGTATCTGAAAATGTTATGGGGCTTTTTTAATTATGGACGTTCCATGAGTTTAGTTTTGTTGAAAATTTTGCAAATAAAAAATTCAATCATTCATCAACATTGTTTTGTTTATTTGATGGGAATTGGGAAATGAATTCCAGAAATCAGCTGTTTTTGACATATCGATTACCTCATAGCTGACGTTTCTTTTCTAGCTGTCACAAAGTGCCGATGATCGCCGAACGACCATGGGCGGAGGTCATTAAGTTTAATTGAATTAAATAAATTCAAAACGGTTTCCAACAATAATTGAGAAATCTTGGAATTATACAATTTGAATGTATTTTCAATTAAAGTAAATAAATAAATAAATATTTAAAATAAAATGAGTACCTCACAATAAATAGACATTATATTAATATACCTAGACGTAGGTAATTAGGTAGGTATATCCTTTTTGGAACAAATAATAAAAAAGCACAAAGAACAGACGCGGAGCCCCACTTTATGATTTCACAAACCAGGGTGGCTGGGGGATCAAATGGGGTGTAAAACTGTTGAGTGGGGTCTGATCTGTCTTTAAAATTAATCTCAAAGCTTGGTGTATAAACAAAATTGTCTTTGATTTTTGTAATTTTCTTTGACGAGTTCAATTTATTATTTTACCGGTCTACTAAGGGGGTCATAGCAATTCAAGTGGGGTCTGTTCTTTAAAATCAGCCTCATAATTCGGTAAAACAAAATGGTCCTGAATTTTTTAAGACAAATATAGGTACCTATATTACCTATTGTCTTTAAAAAAATCCGAGTTTGTTTTTATTTTATTAGGTTGATAAATAATAAAAACACTACAAAATAATCATAAACTAGTCCGCATTCCTAGACATTGAATTAAAATGAAACGTAGCACTTTAACAACGCATTTCTTGCTTGGTAATCGTGTGTAAATTATTATATTACTGTCAATTAAGCAATCAATCCGGCTTTTTTAAACAATTAATCTTTGTTTATCGAGCTGAGATTACGCCGGCGACGAGACATTATAAAACGGTTGGTATTATCTTTGTTTTTAGTTTTGTTCGATAATTATTTTGTAATCGCATGAGAAATGAGCGCCAACATTTTAAAGATTTTTACGCTAGATGGTCAAAATGGAAAACAAAAACAGGTGCCTGAAACTAGTGTATGTTTGCCTTTGTTTATCTTCCTGTTTTAGCCAAGGATAGAAACATGTGTAAGACGAAATCGACAAATAATTTTAAAGTTACTTTTCTAACCTCACTGCTCACTTCTGGTTTGTTATGGTTCATTGTGTAATAAAAATACTATTATGCAAAAGGCAAAAATGGATGTTTTCTATGCCGGCCTAATTACATTGTTAGTTTGTGTGTTTTCTTAATAAAATGGAAATTTTTGTGGTGCTTTTATTTGTTGCTATCTTTGTGTGATTTTGTTTTTCATTTGAAGTAAGGTTTTCCATGTACTTAGTATTATTTCACATTGTCATTGCCTGATAAGTGTTCTAATCAGTTTCTTAGAACTCATTATGAAGGCGCATTCAAATCATGCAATTTTAGATGGACGAACCTCTCCAAGGCTCACCGGAACGTCTCCCTCAATCTCAGTCAAAAACGTTATGCCAATATACTCTAAAATGCCTCAGCTACATTACTGTGGAACCATCTTTGGTATTCTACATGTTGGCCTTCATGATTACAACTGTAGCAGAACAATCCTTTTTTGTCTTCAAAGCTTGCACAGTTAACCACGGTTACAATGACACAATCTGTAGAAATTTAAATGATAAAAAGTTTGAGAATATCACCAAGGAAGTACAGGTGAGTGGTGCCTGTTTATTATACATACTTTTCCTGTTAATCCTTGTGTTGATGCTTAAATTATTCTAATCCATGTCTATAAAGCAATAAGAACACACTGAAACTAATCTTAATACTCTTTTAGATTACGGTATCAAATTTCCATTTGTGGAACGACATAGCAGGTCATGCAGGTCAAATAATCCTGGCTTTTTTCATGGGTGCATGGTCAGATAAACGCGGCAGAAAGCTACCACTTATCCTAGGCCTTATAGGCAAACTTTACTACTCCACAATGATTATAGTGAACTCCCTAATGCCTACTTGGCCAGTTGAGTATATCGTTTATACTGCTACTTTGCCTATGACTATAACAGGAGCAGATGTGGCAATATTTGCTGCAGCTTTCACTTACCTAGTGGACGTGAGTAGTAGAGAGAACAGGACATTAAGGGTTACACTTCTGGAGGTTTGTTATTTGGCCACCATGCCTATAGGAGTTGCTTTAGGCTCCTTGATTTATCAGTACGTGTGTATGCGTTTTATGCCCACACTATTTACTTGATGGATTTTTTTTTCAGGAAGGTCCATCAGTCTTATACAACGATGTTTATCATTAACGCCAGCCTATTAGTGGCAGCTATTTTGTATTCAATGTTGCGCCTACAATGGCGCACATCTGCCAGTCAAAAACCGTTATCCGAAGCAGGAAATTTGTTTTTAGACTTTTTTGACTATAGCCATGTTTCGGATACGGCTAAAACTTTATGTAAAAGGTACTTGACCTACTAACCAATAAATTTAACCTGAGTCTATGGAGCAGCTTCCATCATTTTTGCACAACCAGTTATACAGTGAAACATGAAATGAAAAAAATAAAAATAAAGAAGGAAACAGCTTATTATTAAGCTTCATACAGAGCTAAACAGGTCTGGACAATGACCAAAAAACTACTTGATTCAAACATTATGTGCCGAATTTGTTCTCCATTTTAAGCTCTTCATATTTTTTCCAAATGTCTTTCAACAACACTTCCAAAAATTTTGCATAAATTTGTTTTCAAAATTATTGCTAGACGCTAGCAAGAAATGAAATATTTTGTGAGCTGCTCTTAGAGACAAATATATTTTAACTTATTCATAAACCTGCAGTTAAATTTCTAGACGTCCCAACAAAGATCGCCTAGTCTTGCTCATGCTCATTCTCATGATGGCTTTATACACATTCCAAAGGGACGAACGCAACATGACTTATCTCTACTGCCAGCTAGTTTTTAATTGGTCCGATGCTCAATACAGTAATTTTCGTACTTTCCAAAGCGCCCTGCAGGACGTAGGGCTCCTTGTTGCTATACCGCTTTTGAGCAAGGTACTCAAATTGAGCGACTGTGCGATTATTATGGCAGGAGCTTTGGCGCATAGTGCTGCTAGGATTTTCTATTCAACCGCCATCGAGGCTTGGGTGTTTTATTTTGGTTTGTAAGGGTTTCATGGGTAAATTTAAATTTTATGCATTTTTGGTTTTAGGTGGGGTTTTTGCGGCCTTTGGACCTATAGTGGCTCCTGTGATACGTTCCATGCTGTCTAAAATTGTCGCTACATCGGAAAAAGGTTCGCTCGAATTGGGTGAACGATAAATTAACTTATTTTGTCTTTGCAGGGAAAGCTTTTTCAGTTTTAGGCGTTGCCGATAATGCTGTGCCCCTAATTTCAGGCGTGCTGTACAGTAAATTATATAATTCGACAATTCACAATCAACCAGGGGCTATTTTTTATTTGACCATTGCCTCGCAGATGGGAGTGTTTATATTAGTTTTGTAAGTTTATGTTGATTTTTGTTTAGTTATTTATTCTGTTCGATTATTTGTAGGTACGTTAAATTTATTTACAAGGACAGAAAACGCGAAGTAGGACAAGGGGATTTTGAGGAAAGCACTTGAGTTTTTTAATTTTTTGTATTTATCTAATACTTAGGTACTTAGTAGCAGGATCTCTCAAAAACTTAGTAAATAGTAACTCGGTTGCTCAATGAACATAAAAATGTTTGTAAGGAACAAAAAAAGACAAAACGTCAAGGAATATTTTTATATTAAAAAAAATATATCAAAATAAATATATTTTATCTATAAAAATGTAATTATTATAAAAAGCGCAGACCCGCTCTGGTCAAAGAAGCTTTAATAATGAATAATGATTTACTTATTTATTTTATCTCTCAATGCAATTGGACTTGTACAAAAACATTTTGACAAAAATGTGGCAGAAATTTAACATAAAATTGACTCGCAATCTTTTAAGCATACCAAGAAACTTTGCCTGTGTCTCATCTTGTAGCGTTTTGGCATCAAGCGAGTGAAAATTTAGAAGAAAGTATGTTTCACTTTGCTACATTGAAAACAAGACAGTTTGAATTGCACCATTTTTTGCGTTATACTGGAAAAGTGCTCATTATTATTAGTTCTTACAAAATCCCCTCAAGAATTGACCCAAACCATTCCAACTTTGGGCCCTCAATCACATAAGAGTCATCTTCTGCAGCAGTATTCCATTACCAAAAACAAAAGTTTTTTGAGGAAGGAAATAAATAGCATCTTTATTTGTACTCCTTGGTTCCTGGATTCCAAATTGACGAGGGGTAAACCACCTTGGAATTATAGTATACAAGCATGTGGTATTCCAATGGGATTTCCTAGTTTGCTTGATGAGTTTAGGTTTTAAGTTTGTAGCCATATGTAGTGATGGCTGAAGTCAAAAACAAGACTTTTTCAGGGATTGTGAGCTCCAGAGTCTTTGCTTGGTAGTGTTCAAAATAATTCTAAAAAATTACGAGGAATTCCATTGGTTTCCAGTAGGATAGCGTGGGATTTCAGTAGGATTTCATAGAATTCTTTTCAAGGTAGTTTACCCCTCGCAAATTGATATGGTGACAAAATATCTTTATCTCTTAGAGGAACCGAACAAAATGTAGGTATCGTCAGACTCTCCACTCTCCTCCCTTGAACAAATGGCACAGTTATAGCCAGTGGCGACGCGTGACTTGCAGTCTGGGGGGGGGGGGTAATGGAAGATGCGACCCCTCGCTAACGCGCCGCAGGCGAATTTTTTTGCAACTTCAATATTATTATGTATTTTCTTTTGGGTCTCGTGATTTTTCCCTTGATTATTGGATCCTGGGGGGTAATTACCCCCCCGACGCGACGCCCCTGGTTATAGCGAGTTTTCCGACTCCGGCGGCGGGTTTTCGTCTGTAATAAGCCTAGTACTCATAACTGCGAAATTCGCATTTTTTTGACATTGCGTTGACAATTTGACGTTTTATGCGTGTATCAAACGTCAAATTGTCGAAGCAATGTCAAAAAAATGCGAATTTCGCAGTTATGAGTACTAGGCTATATTTTCAGGGTAGGGTAGGTAACCAAATTCACAAATTGAGCCCTAGGTATGGGATGGGCATGAATATCCAGGTAATACAAAGTTGGGAAATTTGGGTTGCCACCTCTCCGGGTTTCACCCGGAGTCTACGGGTTTTCACATATGGTCTTCGGGCTCCGGATTACTAGGTGTTTTCTCCGGGTAAAACCGCATTTAACAAAAAAAGTACATTTAACAAAAAAAAACGTAAAAATAATTCTTCTGTCCAGGAAAAAAAATAAGATTTAGCAACAGCGCAATACTATTCCTACTCCCCCTCAAGGATATTACACACTACTATAGGATTGCTCATCGGCCTCGATTTCTGGAATCAAGGTCATATGGTGTTGCACCGTTGCCGACGTCATCTACGGTGTCGTTAACTGTTTGCGCCAGCGGTCGTAGTTTAAAATATACATTTATGATGGAAAATATTACTTAATTTTGAATAAGATAATAGGCAAAGCGGAAGATTTAAAAAGGTTGTTTTAGAATGTTGCGTGCGGCTAGATCAATAGGCGGTTACACACGGACGTGGATGTCTGAAAACATGTACGCACATACATGAACGCGCAAACAAAAACATCAATGTGTATGCAAAATGCCGTTGCGTTTTTGAATGTGCAATCGCTAGAAATTTTGTATGCATACTCGGAACACTGTAGCCAAAATAGCAAGATTACAGTTTTGATAGTTTTGTGCGAGCGTCTGTACAAAGGCGCCATGCACGTTGTTGTTTGCACGTTGATGTATGCACGTATATGTATTAAGACATCCACGTCCGTGTGTAACCGCCCCAAAGGCGTCATGCACGTTGATGTATGCGCGTATATGTATCAAGCCATCCACGCGCCGTGTGTAACCGCCTAATCGTTAGTTAATGTCCGTTTCCATTAACTATTTTAGGGAAGCCTTAACGATAATTATGGCCGTTACAACCAACTATTTTAGGAGAGCCCTAACGATAAGTATTCCCTAAAATGACATTTTTACATGGAGAAATGTCAGTTTAGGGCATACCTATCGTTTGGGCGCCCCTAAAATAGTTGGTGGAAATGGCCATTATTCCCTAAACTGACAGTTCTCCATGGAAAATTGTCAGTTTAGGGAATACTTATCGTTAAAGCTTCCCTAAAATAGTTGGTGGAAACGGCCATAAGTCCTTGTTAGTTAAGGGCCGAATTTATAGTTGTTCCTTGACTCTTCCTTGGAGGTCGTGTAACAAAAACCTCATATTGTGTCAATGTCAATATGAGATTGTTTTTGTGTGGCACAATCTAAAGGTTGTTGTTGGCTAACAAGGAATTGACTAAAGCTACATCCTCAATCAATCTGGTAGCAAAGTGGCACTTCGGCACGCGTGCTATGCTGTCTACGTCATCACTGGTGCTTTGGCGTGGTGAGAAGCATAAGATTTGATCTACAGAAGCCATATGCGGATAGGCTATCCTATGGTTGTCCTATCCTGTGCAGTGTGTAATAATCCTTGGATCTCCCAACCATGAAACATCATCCGGTGATGCCAGGGGAGACTTGTGTATAGATAGAGTGTACCTAATGCATCTGTTATCAGATTTGTAGGCCTTTTTTTTTTCAGTTTTTTTTTTTTTTCAATAAGGGTTTTTTTTTCTCCGGTTCAACTTACTTTTCAAGCTGGCATCCCTAGGCAACCCGTATGTACAGTATAGGGTGTCCCATTTTGGTTGTACAAGTGAACTTGGATAACAACTTGGACCAAGTAAGTTGGCCTACTTAAGCCAAGTTGACACGGTCCAAGTGTACTTGGATCAAGTACCTGTGGACGCTGCGTGCGCCTCACTTGGACGATACTTGGATCGTATTATATCAACTTTTCGATATGGATATATAGGTCCCAGAGCTGGGAGTATTGATAAAAAATAGTTACTTTACTTTAACGAGTTACTAAAAGTAACGCGTTACTTGGTAACTTCGTTACTTTTCAGATTGATTGATAAGTACCTAACTGTAACGACGTTACTTTCCTGAAGTAACTGCAGTTATTTTGTTAAAGTAACGAGTTACTTTAACAAAACTTTGTATGTCAAATAAAATGTGGGTAGTACAGAAAATTTGTTTTGAAAACTCAAAATAATCGTTTTTGGGCGTGGCACGCGCCGCCTCTGCTCTAAAGACACTATATGCAGACACTGGGACGCTTCAATAAGCAGGTTTGTCCAAAACCAAGTTCTCTATTTAGTCGCTTAATCCTTAATCCGTTTGAATTTTGCAACAAAACTCTTCCAAATATTCGGACTCACAAACTAAAAACATATTGGCATTTCGTAAAGGTCTTATTCGATTGTTTGGACTGCTGTGTTGGTGAGTCAAATTAAGAATAACGCAATTTTCGACGTAAATAGTTATATTTGAAGTAACGCGTTGCTTTTAATGTAACGCTTTATTTAAAAGTAGCGCTTTATTTCAAACTAACGCGTTGAGGTAACGGGTTACTTTCAAATAACGAGTTACTTTTAAGTACCGAACTACTTCTAAAGTAAAGAAGTTATAGTAACGCGTTACTTTCCAATAAGTAACAAAAATAAAGTTATCATTATTCGAAAGTAACTGTATATTTTAAGTAACGAGTTATTTTAAAGCAAAAGTAACGCGTTACTTTTTTCAAGTAACGATCCCAGCTCTGATAAGTCCCAACATCCAGAGAGCCGCTTTCCAGTATGCACATTGGCGTGCTCTGGCGCGCTCCAGAGCACCTCGGGGGCGCCAGGCACTAGATTTGTACCGTTCCTGTATCATGACGTGAGACGCCCGTCTTAATGTCAAATATGTCAAATTTTAAAAATAATTATCTGTTTGTTTGTGCAATTTGTTTTTTTTTTATCATAAATGAAAGAGAATCAAAACTATATTTTTTAAAATGTTCAATCTTGAGATATAACAAGAAATAAATGCATAAATAGCCACCCACGGATGTGACAGCTGACAGGTTGCCGCGTACGTACAGCTCGGGGGCCCCGAGTAGCTCCGGGCGTCAAACTCCCATACTGGAAAGCGGCTCAAGTGTATAGGCTTGCTGCCAAATTATACTTGGTTCAAGTTCTCATCCAAGTGCACTTGGATCGTAATATTGGAACCTATCCAACTGGACTTTGATACAGTTGATACGATCTAATAACCATCGTCCAAGTCAGGCGCGCACAGAGTCCAAGGGACAAGGGTACTTGAAGAATCTACACTTGGATGAGAACTTGAACCAAGTAAGTTGGCAGCCAAACTTGGAATGTTAGGACCGATCCAACTGGACGTGGATTTACAGTTGATACGATCCAAGTGAGGCACGCGCAGCGTCCAATAAGGATACTTGATCCAATTACACTTGGACCGTGTGAACCTGCCTTTATAAGTTGCATTCCTTTCAAGAGTTTAATAGAACACTTGAGCTACTCGCTCCGGTGTTAGTTGCCCCCGATTTGAAAGGAACAGATGCGTGATGCAACGTGCACCAAACACTTTTCGAACGGAATAAGCGCGTAACACCCCGGAGCTGTTCTTCCTAGGTATGAAGCGAATACAACTACTATACCTCGGTATTCCTTTTACTCGGAACTGCTCAATGTCTAAAGCTTGAACGTTCCTTTCAAAAGTGCGTAGCACTCGAGTCGCTGATAATGCATCCTCCTTTTCCCTGAGGCACCAAACTTGCGGCGGGTGCAAGAAGTCCTTTTAGGTAATGTTAATATTGAAGAATAATGATATTTGAATTGTGTGTTTTGGACTGACTCCGAGGAGCTCTAGAGCGACACGTTCGGTGTAGCTCGATCTATAGAAGGAATAAATACAGTATATAGTGATCGAATCCGAAAGGTGACAACAAATTCTTAGATCTTCTCGTTTTTAGAACAGCCTTATAATCAACGATCGAACGATCATCAAACAACAACAAACGCCGTCAAAGATTATCGGAGTAGTTTATTATCTTGATCTGCAGGCTTTTTTTTTCCAAGTTGCTCTGGAACAAAAGGAACAGTCAGCAGAGATCGGATTATGTAGATCAGAGTTTCGGAAAACCCCTTTTGTCTAGAACCCACTTCAGGGACCTATTGTATATGCGTCCTTATTTCACGCAAAAAAAAGACAAGGAAGGCGAATGGTTGAATTCAAGCAACCGAGCTTCAAGTAATAAAAAAAATAGTCCGATGCCGATGTCCGACCAAATTTTCGAATAGGAACAAAAATTCGAAAATTTGTAGCATTGGCTAGGAGGAACAACTATTTAATTTCGTAACATTACCATGACTATTACAAGAATTCTATTCGCCGCCAAGCAAGCATCGAACTTACTAAAAGCGAAAACGGGGTTGGGATTGGAAACGGCAATTAGGTCAGCGACGACAAATAAACACGGAATTATATTGAGTGAGCCCCAAAAAGTCCCCTTCGGACTTTTGAAGGTGAGTTTCTTAAAAGCTGACTGCGAAGTTTTCTATGGCTCCCAGTAGAATTGCGCAACAAAGTGGAGTGCTGCCTGTAAATCAGAGTACAACAAATATACCTAATTTTGGCTTGATAGATAGCAATACTATTAATTTCATTCACTACTGAAATCTTTCTCAAGACACTCTCCTTTTAGATTTTCCTCACCTATAATTATTATTCTTGTAGAGAGTTAATGGAGCGTAGGACGTAGGTCAGCAAAATTACATTGAGGCCTGGATTAAACCAATAAGTTCAAATTGTCAGTTTTTCAGGAAATATCGAAATGAATTTGTTCCTACTATTAGCGCGTTTTTAGTTTATATCGGGTTACCTAAATTATTCCAATCTCTAGTTATAGATTTTCTTGATCATTGTTCTAAAAATATTGAGGAAAACCAGTTGCTCATATATATGCATATATCTATAAAATCTCGTTTGCTTTTTCTATGTTGTGATGGATTGTAGTTCTTATCTTTTTCAATTTTCAGGTGATATTGACTGTAGTACCAGGCCTCCTAATTGGCGCAGGAATTAGTAAAAATATAGCGAATTTCCTAGAAGAAAATGACCTTTTCGTACCATCAGATGATGACGATGATGATGACTAAATTGTTTCGCTTAGGTGATTTCTTTAATGGTAAAATAACAGTCCTGGCTCTCAAATTTAGTGCAACATTATTAGCCTATTTATTATTTTTGTATGCTTCCAATTACACTAGTTATATGAAATTTCATTTTCCTAAAGGTTTCCAGTTAGCTGGAGTTTTATTTACACCTCTGTTATGGCTTTTCAAACCACGTTTAAAAAGCCCTCATCAATGAAGGTGCTGTGAGTAAGGTGTTAATGAAAATTATTATAAAAGTTGTAAATTCTGCTTGTGGCTATTGCTATGGTACCACTTATTTTGATGAAGTTCCTACCTACCTGATGTCATTGTACATATCAATAATTTGCACATCGGTATAAGTACCTATACTGATCTGCAAATATGAGAAACATAGACAACGAAGACATAATTCACCAGAACTGAGTGATGACCAAAAAGGATTCTAAGAGAAACCATCAATAGATTCATTATCAAAGAATACTTTCAACAAATATTTTATTCGATATGTCAGCAAAACATTCAAGAGTTCAAAATGTAAAAAAAAAACAGCTAAATGGGAATTTTCAAAAAAAAAAAATAGAGGATTTATATGCCTGAAGTTACTTATCCATGTATATATTATTGTTATTAAATTAATAGTTATTGTTTAATGTGCAGTTTTTTTTTTCTCAAAGCCCCTATCCAGCAAGCTGAAACACTGAGGAAAAGAGTGTCATTAGGATATTGAAAAACATACTTGGTGTTTTATTGGGGAAATGATATTTTCATAATGTAGGGTGATCTGCAACATAAATAAAAATTATAAATTCTAATTTTTTGCAATGTACAATCTAAATAATGACTTCTAACCCTTGTACCATAGAGAAACAGACCAAAAAGGTCTGTTTCTCTATGCCTTGTACGAGGTCAGGAAGTGTGCCAATATGGCACATTTTCAAGTTTCTCAATTCGATGAATAATGAAAAATTAGGGTTTTAAGGTGAATTTGAAGCTCAACTTTCGTTTTGCTGAGATCATTTACGAAAAATTCGCTATATAATCTTACTCTAACTTAAAATTGCCTATTTGCAAAAATGTTTAAATACATAATTGGAAATTTCCTATTTCGTTTCCACTTTAGTATAGCTCCAATCCAATATGGAAATAGGTACTGACTATATATAATTTGATTTGAATATTCATTAGCAAGAGAGCAAAAAATGCTTCTAGGATATTATTTTCGTGAGAGACTGCAATTTCAGCGAAGTGATTCGTTCAGAAGTTATTCATTGATCGCTATTGAAGGTCAAGAGCTAAAATTTTTTTGTTTACTTGTTTTATTTCCTCGAAGCTTGTAGGCCCAAATGCAGTTTGTCGTCAACAGACTATGGAGCATGCATGTTCTATTTATACACTCTCAACTATCTACCAAAAAGTTTCCTAAATCGATATTTTTAGCATTGTTTTGGTTGCTTTAGTATAAGAAATAAGTTGGATGGATACACAATCATATTGATTCACAAAATAATGAAAACGATGACTGAAAACAGGGTTGGCATACACAAAAACTCAGTTCGGAAACCCAGTGGGTGGTTTTTGACACAAGAACCCATCATCAGTATTGACAACAGCCCAGTGGGCTTTAGGCTTCCTGTGTCAGAAACCCAGTCATACAGAAATAATTATGAACTGGCTTAATTTGGAAAAAAATTTTTACAAGTTTTTATCAGAAAAACAAACTCATTCGAAGCACAGTGTGTTCCGCTTAAGGACTGACGACCCTTCTAAAATTTTTATTTTTCAACCGATTCATTTCATTTTTTTTTTGTTTTATATCTACTCGAATTTGGCACTTATTCGACTCATAATTTTATTCTGCGGCTGTACTGGTGTACAGGGTAGGGTGTCCATATTTATAGGCTGAAATTTCAATAAGTACTATTAGGGATTTTTTTAGAAAAAATCTGATAGCAGATTCTTGTTTAGAATGGTCTAAAACTTAAATGTACTAATTTTTGTTTCAATACGATACAGGGTGATGACAACAAGTTTTCACAATTTAATGAATCAAACCGCAAAAATGTTATATTTTCAGACAAGCTTACTACAAGTTTCGGTTAAGAATGTTCTAAAACTATGTTGTATCAACTTTTGTTGTTCTCAAGGACTCAAAATATGACATTTTTCCGGTTTGGTCCATTAAGTTTTGAAAATTTGTTGTTATCACCCTGTATCATATTGGAACAAAAATTAGTACATTTGGGCTTTAGACCATTCTAAACAAGAATCTGCTATCAGATTTTTTCTAAAAAAATCCCTAATAGTACTTATTGAAATTTAAGCCTATAAATGAGGACACCCTGTACACTAGTACAGCCACAGAAATAAAATTATGAGCCAAATAATTGCCAAATTCGAGTAGATATAAGACAAAAAAAAAATGAATTGAATCCCGGTTGAAAAATAAAAATTTTAGAAGGGTGGTCAGTCTTTAAGCGGGACACACTGTATATCAAACAAAATAAAAATCCTAAGAAAAAATAGAGTCCACTGATATTGATCAAATAATTCTTAAATACAAAAGTAAATATCGAAAGAAACTTTTCTCAAGATAGGTACTACTACATCTAAGGTAACTAAAAAAAGAATTTGTACTAATAAACTAGTAAATAGATAACTGCAACTAAATTGAAATCTTAATGAACATGTTTGTAGAGAATTATATTAGATTTAATTAAAGCCTGATTGCGTTGAGATCGGATAGAAATTAAAAGAGCTGTGTGGCAAAAACCGTCTCAGTGTCATTTTTGGAACATTTTCAATGGACGATAAATTCAATTTTGAAGCTCCTCAGGTGCAAAACTGTTCGAACTAAATTAAAATCTCAATTGATGAGTATGTAGAGAATTTAATTGGCTTCAATTTGAGCCTAATTACATTTAAGACGGATGGAAATTAACGGAGATATGAGGCAAAAACTGTCTTAATGTCATTTTTGGATGTCAATTTTGGAAAATTTGTTGTTCTCAGGTGCAACACTGTTGAAACCAAATAAAAATCTTAATTAGGAGATTTGTAAAAAAAATAATTGGCTTTAGAGCTTTAGTCAGAGTTTAATTACATTGAAATCGGATGAAAATTAACGAAGCTGAGAGGCAAAAACTGTTTCAGTGTCATTTTTGGAAAAGTTTCAATCTTCGATAATTTTAATTTTGATGCAGGTGCAGAACTGTTGAAACCAAATTAATATGCTTGTAGAGAATTTAATTAGCTTTAATTAGAGCTTAATAACATTGGAATTGGATCAAAATTAACAGTGTTGTGAGGCAAAAACTGTCTCAGTGTCTGTTTTGAAAACTTTTCAATGTTCAATTATTCCAATTTTGAAGCTCTTAGGTGCAAAACTGTTGAAACCAAATTAAAATCTTATTTAACAGGTTTGTGAAGAATTTAATTGGCTTTAATTAGAGCTCAATTGCATTGAAATCGGATGAAAATTAACGGAGCTCTTAGGCAAAAACTGTCTCTGTGTCATTTTTGGAAAATTTTCAATGTTCAATATATTCAATTTTGAAGCTTCTCAGATGCAAAACTGTTGAAACCAAATTAAAATCTTGAATAATAATTTCGTAGAGAATTTAATTAACTTTAATTATGTTGAAAATGGCTGAAAATTAACGGAGGTGTGAGGCAAAAACCTGTCTCAGTGTCATTTTTGGAACATTTTCTAAACCCTATAAAAACACAAAAACCGCAAAAACCCAAAAACATAATATAAATTTTCAAAAACCTGGGTTTTTGCCAATCCTGACGGAAACATCTGGGTCACGAGAAAGTAAAATAGCCCTTACAATCTCTATAAATATCTATGTATCTAACTTCAATGAAAAGAGTCAATCATCAACCCACTATGATTTGACCTTCCAATGTTTTCGATTTGAAATCAGTTCAAACACTCTCTAGGAACAAAATTGATGTTCGAAAAAAAAAACTTTCTAGATTTTTAAAAATGTATTTAAGTACTGATGAGTACAAAACAATGCTTCACCAACAAGATGCAGAGAAATAAATTTTTAACCAGATAACAATTTTGTCTTAAAAACTAACAATAATAATTGTAACTTATACAATTGTTTGGTTGATAATAATCAAAATAAGTTACGACTACAATTAAAACGCTTTGAACAAAGAAATATTTAGGTTTTCACTTAATACATATTAATACATAAGTGTGTTTCTTTTTCTACTCTGATAATATAATACGACATTTTGTATTTACCTCTGTTACCAAAAAGGTTAGTGTTTGAAAAAACAAAAAAATGGTGGTTCGTCAGCAGTAAAACTTTTGGTTGTTTTTAATTTTTCACTTACAATAACAAAAAAATATCCCACCAGTTTAGCTCCACTTTTGATTTCCCACATGCCTACGTTGAGAACAGTCTTATTCATTAAAGTCATTGGTGCTTATTCATAAAATTGACTTGTCGAATGTTTAACCAAGTTGATATATTTTTTTTTTTAAATGTGTATAAAGCAAAGATGATATAGCACTCAACAATACAAATGAAGTTGTATATTTTAACATAGATCACCTTGTATATTAATAGATATCTAATTTTTTCAAGAATCCCGGATTTTTTTGTTATGATTTTTTCCAATACCTACATACTGAAAAACCCCAATCCATTTGAAAAATGTTACAGGTTATGGAATAAAAAATCATATTTTCGCTAAAGAAACCTATACAAGCTGTTCTATGGAAAATATTATTTTTTTATTGGGTAACATTTGTAAAAAACACAATTAAACAAACAAAAAAATAATAAGAAAACATAATAAATAAAAAAATCACCCAAATTTGCCAATATACAAGAGTCTGATACACTGGAGGATCAGGCTTTCTCAACTCAGCTGTGAAACACAATTATAAAAGGGAAGCAATACTCAAGTTAATTTTATTTTTTTTTTTTGGAGAATTTGCGCAAAATAGCCTGTTTAAGGCTTTGGCCCTTCGGGAATAGTTGAGCCTGATCAGACAAGCCAATATAAGTAATGTCTTTTATATAAGTGTAAAAATGTATTAAGTACTGTAGCTGAGAAGGAAATAAAGTATCACCCACTAGTCTTTGAAGCCTTTGCACCTGCTGTTTACGTGATCACTCCATCTATCAATTAAGCAATCAATAATTTATCGTTTATTGTAAAAAGTATTATCAATTGTGTAAGGCAGATTGACATCCGAATCAAATATCTTTTGAGTAGTGGCGATGCACTGGTCAACACACCCTCTTTCTTCTACAGTACTAGGGTGTTGATTCTACAGTGATCACTTCAACAAGCAGGTCTCATACAATTAGCCCTCATAGCTAAAAAGCATAAATACACATTTAAGGTTATTTTCTCATTTGATTGATTTGAGATTGAAAAATCAAGTTTTGACAAGTATTTTATAAATAGAAATTTAGTCCTCAATAAAGAAATCGGCCCTAAGTGGGTGTACAATTTGATAATACAATGATTAATATTTTATTAAGTAACAATACAAATCACAGCAAGAAATGTTTTTTTTTTAGAATGGCAGTTATCGAGGTTTAAAATTAAGATTTTCAATCAAATTAATTTGTGAAAAATTTCAAGCATAAAGTAAATATATACAAAATTTACAACACCAGAACATAATATTAATTTTCAAGATTCTCTCAAATGTGAAGTGTTTTAGTGAGTTGACAATTTAATTCAAAATAGAAATGAAGTGCAACAATGTGGTGAATCAAATGAAAGTATGGCAGAATTTTGAGTTCTAATGTTGAAAAATTATAAAATATACATATTATTACAATTATTTTGGTTTCCTTCCATCAAGATCACAGTAAAATTTGTTAGAAAAATACGTATTTTAAAATTCTTGTCATATTATAAAACAACAGATTTCAAAAAATTAACCCAGAAGTATTTGAAATGTTCAAGTAGTTAATATACATAGTATTATTTTTTTAATTAAGAAAGATTTTGCCCTAAACTTCATAATGACCTACTAAGTGTATTAACTAGACAATATTTATGCATTTTATATAATTTTATGTGGGTATATGTAGGAATCAAAATTTTCTAGCTCTACTTTGACTTTACGCCATTCTAGCAATCTCAACTATTGAAATAAATTAACAATCCAGCAGTTGCCATACGAGTAGTCATACTTTTAATAACAGGACAAATACTATAATAATTGAGATTGCCTCCAAACCAACACATGAATAAAACCTAACGTTTCACATAAAAATTAAGTAGGTATATGTATAGCTCTACAAAAAAAAAAAACAATAGGTTGATGATTTTAAAATACTATAAGAGAATACCTATTACGTAGTTACGTTTTAAATTATCTCACTAATTTAGGCCTTGCCATTGACTGGTGTCGATGACAGACCGTTTATATTGCCATGGCGATTAAGTATTTGAGGCAATTTGCATTCTGAAGTAGGACTTTCTTCACCACAGTGACAGTTTTCTTTGGTTTCTGGTCCGCGTGTTTGCCTATCTTGAGGACCTGGAATAAATTTAAAAAAGTCAATTAGGCCAACAAATACAGGGTGTCCTTAGATAAACCGACACATTTTGCAGATAAATATCTCGAAAACGAGAAAAAATAACGAGATGCGGTTTGTTCTGGGAGAGTAAGGATTTTTTTTCACAGAATTGCCAAATCCTAAAATTTGATGAAATTTGGTTTTACAGGCATGCGATTTTTTGAAATGAAAATACGGCCCTATTTTTAATAAAAAATCAGGCCTTCTGACGATGACAAAATATATGGGTTGTTTCATTGAAAGTAAGGCAAGAATTTTATTTCAAAAAATCACATGTCTGTAAAACCTTCAACAAATTATAGGATTTGGCAATACCCTCAAAAAAAAATTTTAAAATTTGTATTCTCCCAGAACAAACCGCATCTCGTTATCTTTTTTCGTTTTCGAGCTAATTACCTGCAAAACCTGCCAGCTTATCTAAGGATACCCTGTATATTATAGATATGTACAAGAATGGTGCGATTTTTTGATCACAACAATTTTTTAAGTGTTAGTGGGTCGTTATGGGGATCAACACTGACAGCATGTGTATGAAGTAAGTAGGTAACGAAATAATTGACTAGACTAATAAAAAAAAGTTATTGACATTTTATGATCTAGTTTCACGCTTATGAGTTTGATTCGAATTTTTAATCTAAACTCTAGCAAAACTCAAAAACTCAAAAATCTAGACATCATAGACAGTTATTATACCTTAGTTCTTGAAAACAGATCTAAAACTGCAAATACATAGTCCATTTTCTTATCAGTCTTTTTTGTCTTTTTTGGCCCATCCTATGCAATTAAGATATGGCAAAATATTTAAATATCTTTAGCGAATATTTACCAGTTAAATTAGTGCTATATTTCTTAGAATTTTTCCAATCTTCTCTCAGTGATAAGTTGTACATCGAATAATCTGGATTGCCGGTGACTTCTCTGTCAATGTTCAAAAATGTTGGAAGCGTAACTTGTAGGCGTGCATCATCCAAAGCTGAATATGTTTCAAGAAGAATAAGTCCTCTGCATCTAAATGAAATTTTTTACATTACATTTCTACAATTCCATATGTTAAAATTTTGCTTTACCTAGGGTGGCTGGGTTGTTCGTAAATATCCAACTGAAAATACTGATTGTTGAAAATAAAACATCTCCGTTTTTTGTATATGGTAAAGTGTGAATTATCTTTCTGCGTCAATAAGTTGATGTAGTCACGATGGTTGATCTGGGTTTTCACTTCAATGACCTGGCCTCCTGGTTGCATTTGACGCCGCACAGTATGTATGTAACTGTAATATCCTAGAAGAAAAAACACGTTAGTAACAAATTACTCCACTTGATCACAAATACAGTGTCTACACAAAACTATGGGTATATCAGATTAGGGGTTCTTGCAAATAATCCCAACAATCAGTTAGTATTGTTGGCTAGAACAAAACGACACGTCATTCTTGCTTACAGTTTGGATGGGACTTCACAGATTAGAAAAGTGGCCATGGTAAATATCCTATAGTCAATAAACAGTTAAAAATACAGACTGGCTTAAATTAATAAGGGTTTAGTATAAACTAAATGGTTTGCACTAAATAATAATTTATCAAGTATTATAATGATGTAGGCGACGTTTTTATTAGTTTATTAGTTCACGCACATATTCTTACCTGCAGTTTATTTTTACGTTCATTAATAATCACATTTTGTTTGGATTTTCAATATAAATCCAAAGATAAATAATTTGAGGATTGCAAATTGTTAACATGAACCAAACTTCAATAAAAAATTAATGGCATTTTTACTCAAACAGAAGACAAAGTAAAGAAAAAGTCCTACTTCATTGCAAACCGTGTATATATTATATCTGCAAAAATTCTAACAACTTTACAAATTTATTTCATAAAACGCGAAAAACGTAACATCAAAAATTGATAGGACTAGATATAAGTAACCTAAAAGACTAATTTCGTTTTTAAAGAACTCTTATTTGATTGATTTCATTAAACTTGCGTTTCTCACCTTTTTGCCCGCGTTTTCTTAACCTGACTTGGTTGGGAGAGTTCGATTGTAGATAGTTATGCACAACTTCGAAATCTTGAAAGGGTGGAAATACTGAATCATCTGGCAATGGTCCCCTAAAATCGAAAATATAATTATAATACATACAATATAGACGAAGTCGCTCATCACAGTAAAACGTTTTGCAGAATTTTATACAAAATTGACACATGATAGTACTTTCAAATAATTATTCTTACTTGATTAGGAACTTATGTTTTTTCGAGTTCTTCAGCAATCTATCGCCAGTATCCAGTCCGATCTTATGACAAACCGAACCAATCATTCTCCTTATTTTGCCTTCAAAATCGGTGGAATTGTCGATGACGTCAAAATAAGGATGTCCCACCCAGGAGGCGGCCGCTTTGCTGTCCAATTCTCTTGCGAGTTCAACACCTTCGGATCGGCAAGAATGGTCCTGAATTAATTTGAAAACTAGTATTAAGTTTTTGCTCCGAATGCAATTTTACAAATAATTCTATATCTAGTTCTGTTGAAAACTGCAGAAATAAATATACATAAACATTTAAAATTAGCATTATTTACCTCAGTAGTATAGTAATCTTCAGCACCTTTAGCAGCAGATACCATGTGAATGATCTGGTTGTAACGGTTGTCTCTTAGCTCGATGTTGTTCCAGCTGTTGTCTGTCATAATGCTCTCCCATTTTTCCTTGGATATAACTAAAATTTAAATAATTCTTGCCACATCTATTTCCTAACAAAAAGAAAGTTATTCAGCAGGAATGAACAAAAGATTTGAAAAAAATCGAATTCTATATTGTTTATAATATACTAGAACCCAACAATAACTACAAATTCATGGTTCAATAATTGTTTGCAAGACCTTCTAAAAGTATTACAACAATATGCAAAACATTCAGTTTTTAAAAGATCAAATTTATTATACCGAAGGTTTGAGGTAAATGACAAGCTGAAAAATCTCAAATAAAAAGAACCATAATAGTTAATTACTCTTAGATCTATAAATGGTCCGAAATTTTAACAATATAAATATTATGACTAGCCTAATGATTGTCTAGTGGGTACTTGAATAAGCTATTACTTTTACAACAATTCAAGAATATGAAAAACAAAAAAGTTATGAGAATTTGAAAATATTACTCGATAAATGCCCCCTAGCGCCGAAAGGGTTAAGAATATCTAGGAGCGGTTTTCGAAAATCGGAATTTCTCGTGAAAAGGGGCTCATGACAATAAGTTTAGTTTCCTATCAAAAGTGCCCATTCTAGACCACAGTTTACGTACTTTTTTCGCACTATTTCAATGATAGTAATTATTCACTTAAACATAATTTCTAAATTAATTTGTAAATTGCGCCTTTTTATTCTATCTAATTTAGTGAAAATTCTTTGCAAATTTTTAACGTGAATAAATAAAATTTAAATTTCAAACTTACATGCTGATGCATCCATTGCACCCCTATCACAAATAATCAGGCAATTTCGTTTGCTGGTTCTGCCCAATTCGAAGAAGGTATCTTCGATTTGAAGCATCGTCTTGAGAAGGTTCTCCTGGAAGGTAACACCTGCAACAAAAAACAAAGGAAAATTGAAAATTGAGAAAAGCGAAGCATCAAGAAATTTTCAATAACATCATTTCAAGTACATATTATAAATACGTACTACAGAAATGGAAGTTTTCATTATTTTTGGAGAGATTTTGCTACGCTGCCACACCGTGTTTGAATTTCATTAATTATTTTCAATCTGTTGATTTTAAAATAAGAATTCAAAGTACCTACTCTCTGAAAAAAATCGATTTTTTTTTTAAATATTTTCCAAATTTTAACTTTTCCAATCAAAAAGAAAACTTCATTTTTTGGTTCCGATTTTTTTTTGAATCATGACAAGGTTAAGAAAAATTGCCATTATTTCCATTTAAACTCCAGCAAATCATAACACATTATACACCATTCAAAAGAGCATTAAATTCTCTATAAATCTGTGCTAAATTGAGTTTGATAGATCCAATACTTTCTGAGCAATTAAGCCGCAAAGTTGAACTTTTTCAATTAACCAAAAATTTTGCTTCAAGCCTCCTTTGGTATAGTTAGTTAGTGATGGTCTAAAAGAATAATTTGAAAAGATGCAGATTGTTTATAAATAGCCTTTTTGAATGTTCCTTTAACAAATTAACCTTGAAAACCTTGAAACATACACTAAAAACGCTGTATGTTTAAATTTATGAGATATACAAAAATTTTATAACTATTGGAAATTATGAAACTGAGCGTTATTTTCATTCGAGTACTCATTTCTTTGCAGAAAACCATTAAGCTTACATTTTGTGATATTTCTTTCTTTCCAGAGGAGGAAATACTAATTTTATTGTATTTAAACCTGAAACGCCAGGAATATTTATGGGTACCTATCAGTATGCCAGCTGTTTTATTTTTAGAAAAGCTCGCTTCTGCATTCTCATTCCCGGTATTGATATATTAAAAATTTGGTAATATATTACTTCGGGCTCCCATTCCTGATTTTTATTAATTCAAGAAAAAATCAATAAAATAAAACACACGGAACAAGATATAAATCAAGTACTAATAACCAATAGCTTTATGATATCACTAAGGGCCGGTATTATAAGGCTGGTCGATTGAAGGTTGAATTTCAACCAGCAGCGGTTGAACTGAAATGTCCGTAGAAAATCATACAGAAATGTCAGTTCGATGAAACTCAACCTTCGGTCAACCAGCTTTATAATAATGGCCCTTATACACCTAGAAATAATGAACAGATTACTGATTAGCAATAGAACAAGGTCTAATTTGCTCAAACTCATGTTATTCATAGATATTTTGAAAATTTGGGTAAATGCAAATTAATCTGTTAACACACAAACTTAAATTAAAGCCAAAAATGGTTTTAATTTGACTCATCAAAATAAAAATAACTGTATTGTAGTCCTTTTGCTCATTACTCAATATGTAAATTTCTAAGTCAAGTGCAACGATCTATTATTTTTATAAGTCCCTAAAATAATTAAAAATAGTCTAACTAGTCAGCTGCTTTATCAGGAGTTTATTTTTAGCAAAATATTTTAAAGGTCATAAATTAGACTATTAAAATATTATTGCTGATTATTTGTTTTATGTGGGGTGGCCTCTATTCATTGTTTTGATTAGGCTGTTTATCCCTGGACTAAATAATAACGTGCAATTAATGCAAACAATTTTAGATAAGGTATACATTTGAATTTTAAATACAAGCAAGTTTTTAATAAACAGCAGACATTTGGCTCGGAAATACTAAATAAATTAGTGCAAAAGGATTTTGGCACCACATGATTTTAGTACAAAAAAAAAAATATTTCCTGTCACCGACATTATCGTCCTGGCATTAATTTTAGAAAAAAAGAAAACAATATTTTGTAATAATTGGCATGAAGTAGAAAATTTTAACATTCAAATTACCTATACATATATACTTATACTTGTATACTTATGAATATAAAATGTAAAAAAATATTTACTGTATACCTTACCTTCATCGTCATCCAGATCACTGAATTTGATTCCACCACTAAAACAAAAAAAAAAATTTAACAGAAACAACATACATATTATTTATTATTCTACAAATTAGTGTGACATAGTTAAATTTATGTTATCCTTATGTTGGAGAAATTCTGCGGAATCTAGCAGCAGCATCATATCAAGGTCCCCAGGAATAACAGAGATAGCCCCTTAAACTCTAGCTCTCCTACTTGCTGAACAACCCTTGTGCACAGTCTGGCATTGGCATACTTAGGGGATGATTTCCCAAAACGAAGTCTCAGCCCCCTAGAGCTTGAAATATCATTATTGATCGACCATTGACTAGAATACTCGACAATGGATCGTCGATCGAATCACGAATCGAAGGTTATGAGAATTATCTAGAAAATTATAGAAGGATTCAAAAGGTTTATGAGGAGCTTATGACGTCAATGCAGCCAGGACAAGTGGTGTCGGCCAAAACAAAAGGACAAAGTTCAAGATAAAGGATGTCGCTCCACAACAAAGGGACAAATGTCCAAAATAAAGGACAAAGGTCGAAAACAAGAGGCAAAAGTTCGAAATAATCCCAAAATAAAGGACAGTGATTTAAAATAAAGGACCAGGGTCTAAAAACACACCAACAATATTATTGAATGCCTGTATATGGCAGTTTTGAATACAAACGCATCTTTGATGTATGTAATTGGAAAAAAAAAATTATTTACCTAGTCTGAAACGTGACTAATTTATGCAGGGCAAACAGAAAAACAATTCAAATTCTTTATGGGATTGCTTCGTCATAACTAATAGTCTAGGAAAATAGTCGAAAAATACATGCATTGCAAAAAAAAAATTCCTACCCAAATGAACTTTTCAGGGATGATAGGGGGCGGGTGGGTTATCATAAAATCGAAAATATCAAACATTCACCCCTCTGGCGTTTTGCGCTATAGGGGTTGAAAGTGCGCCATTGGCGATTACTTGGTACCTATTGATTTTACAAAAAAATGTTTCAAATAAAAGATGTGCAACATTATTTAATCTACAATGTTTATCTAAAGACTTTTTTGATTAAGGGCCGTCTGTAGTCATAAGGGCCGTTTGAAATTTTATAATGAAAATGAAAAATTTTAACCAACGTGAAAAATTTTTCTATAACACATAAAACATTTTTGCTTTATGAAGTTTTTACTCACCCCCTGCCGTTTTTCAATAGGGGTAGTTTAAAGTTTATTTATTTTTTCACAAAAAAAAATTCCCTATAAAAGTTTTATAAGATTACATTTCCTACAATTTTTCCCAATCAACTTTTTTTGTAACTCGCCCCCATTCAGCGGGGGGACACTTCCCTTAGGGAAATTTTAGTTTTTAGGGGTATATATTAATTTTTTTTTTCCTTTCTCGCCTTTAGTGCATATAAAAAGGTGCAATCAACATTGTATTAAAAGGATTTTTTTTCCACCACCTTTTTGTTTTTAGGGGTAGTTCGCCTATTTTCAACTTTACAAAAAAAAGTTATAGAAAAAAGTTGCTCAAAATAATAAAATGAACAAGTTTTCTTTATAATTTTTTTTTGTAAAGTTGAAAATAGAACTACCCCTAAAAACAAAAAGGTGGTGAAAAAAAATCCTTTTAATACATTGTTAATTGCAACTTTTTATATGCACTAAAGGCGAGAAAAGAAAAAAAAATTAATATATACCCCTAAAAACTAAAATTTCCCCGAGGGAAGTGTCCCCCCGCTGAATGGGGGTGAGTTACAAAAAAAGTTGATAAGGAAAAATTGTAGGAAATGTCATCTTATAAAACTTTATTGAGAAAATTTTTTTGTAAAAAAATAAAAAAACTTTAAACTACCCCTATTGAAAAACGGCAGGGGGTGAGTAAAAACTTCATGAAGCAAAAATGTTGTATGAGTTGTAGAAAAATTTTTCACGTTGGTTAAAATTTTTCATTTTCATTATAAAATTTCAAACGGCCCTTATGACCACAGATGGCCCCTAATCAAAAAAGTTTTTAGATAAACATTGTAGATCACATAAAGTTGCACATCTTTTATTTGAAACATTTTTTTGTAAAATCAATAGGTACCAAGTAATCGCCAATGGCGCACTTTCAACCCCTATAGGGCCAAACGCCAGAGGGGTGAATGTTTGATATTTTCGGTTTTATGATCATCCCTGAAAAGTTCTTTTGGGTAGAATTTTTTTTTTTGAAAATCTACAATTTTCCCATACTATAAAGGTTCGAATCGATAAATTTAAATCCTTTTAGAAGCTATAAAAGTGTATACAGTAATATAATCTGCATATTTGAATATTTTGTTGAAAAGAATTGGCATAATATACGAAAATCAATATGAACTCTTTCAACTAGAAAATTTTGACTGTGAGGCAGATGTTTCTTCTATTGCTATACCCTAACGAAAATGGAAAAGAGCATTAAATAATATTCATTTAAAAGCGTCCTATTTCTGCGCCTGTGATAAAACTTCTAGTTTGTTAACTATGATAATGAGATATTGAACTACTTTCAATGTCCTCCAACTTGTAAAAAGATACCTAATCAAATATAATTCAATTACCACTGATTGAATAATAATAAACGGCGTGATTAATTTGCTTCCCTTCAATTACATGGTGATACTAAATTATTCATCAATTGAAGGCTTGTAGTGGTCTGACTTTATTATTACTAGATTTTTCCTGAAACAAAACGTCATCCATAATAAAAATTCCAGGCAACTTTTATGCCTATTACAAACATCAAACGATTTCAATGACTTTGATCCAGTAGTGATTAGCTTGATTTTAGTTGCGATAATGAAGTTGTTGGTGCGATATGACGAAAACTGCCATACGAAAACCCCTAAACATTCTTCAAGTAACTGAATGTGCATTGGAAAGGTTCAGGCTCACAGTTTGTCTCAGATAATGAGTGCTGGATTGATCTTATCTTTTAAGAAATTTAATGTATGCATCTAAAAACTTAATATTGTTCACTTACCTAAGCAACACTGATGCAGTTTCAGGTACTCGGAATACCTGAAATAAAAAGTTAAAAAATGCATGATATATTGTTTGGATGCAAATTATTGGCTCATATAAATAAAACAGAAGCAAATGCATTCGGTTAAGTTTTTTGAGATGAACATATTCAGCTTTAATGTAGCAAAAAGAGACGGAGGTAGAGTAAAAGCAGTTGCTACACTTTATACATAAGACTGATTAGTGATTATTATCGTGTGGAAAAAACACGAGAGCTTGTCATGATTCAAACATTTTTCCCAGTTTATTCATTGTTTACCTCGAGTTAAATTCCTGTGTGATCTCTTTTTTGCAGAATAATCTGATTAAAATGAATAAATAATGATTAGATGATAGATATTAGGTAAATAGAATTGATGGAATAAATGATCTACCACGCAATTCATTTACTTACTGAATTTACTATATTGAATAGAGAATTTTGGATTATTAAAAAAATCTTATTTATAATTATTTTAATCTATGATCATGCAATTTATGATGAGTGATGTTTTTTGTTTTAAGTTTAATAATTGTCTGGAGATAAACATTTTAAACTGAAAAAGTGATTGTTCCAATATTGCAATAGGTCACTTGGAACAATTTTGATTTAAAAAGGTTTAAACTAAAAATTTTACCTTCCATCCTAAGTTCTCAAAGAATGTGCTTATCCTTGCTTGTCCTGTAGTTTTACCCCCACAAGGACCTAAAATAGAAAACTTAATAATGAAAATATACAGATGCATATAATAAATATAGCAATGTAAATATTGGAGATTTTAATAAAACATAGAATAATTAGTACAATTAAGGCTTGTCAGTATTTGGCCAACTGAAATTGCTGAAGGAGCAGGTCGGTAGATAAATAAAATAAATCTTGAGACATAAAATTGATGATTGCCACAAGTGAATTATCCCCAAGATCAGCAGGTCTTCATTCTCCCTACAAAATAAATGCATTGTGGATATGTTTTATAATAAAGGTTGTCCTTAGATAAACTGACACATTTTGCAGGTAAATATCTCCAAAATGAGAAAAGATAACGAGATGTGGTTTGTTCTGGGAGAATAAGAATTTTTAAAAGTTTCTTTTCACAGCATTGCCAAATCCAAAAGTTTGCTGAAATCTGCTGCCTGATTCTATATCACGAGTCGAGTCGAAATTCGTATCGAATTGTCAAAATAGCGATTTTATTTTTCGATACATATAACACGATACGTCCGGAGCTGTCGTATTCGATATCGAAACAATACGACTCGACTCGTAAAATAGAATCCGCGGGCTGGTTTTACAGACATGATTTCTCTCTCTTAGATGCAAAAAAATCATGTATAATTTCTATTAAATCAGCTTCAGGCGCTTCTGAAAAATACTTCAAGCAATCAGTGGGACTTCAAACTTTTAGGATTTATTGAATAGGATCTTTTTATAAAACAAAACAAAACAAACCGCGAGTAGATCTCAGGCCAAAAAATCAACAGGGTACGATGAAGTCCCAATTTCTATAATTAAAGCAGCAGCTGATTTTCTATGTGAGCCGTTAGTGTACATCATTAATCTATCTATGCAACAAGGTATTTTTCCATCTAATCTAAAAACCGCTTTATTAAAGCCGATTCACAAAAAAGGAGACCTAAATGAGCTAAAAAATTATAGGCCTATTTCTCTACTGTCAAACTTTAGCAAAATTTTTGAAAAAGCAATATATGCTAAACTTTTAAAATTTCTTGAGGAAAATGCATTACTCACTGAAAAACAAAATGGTTTCAGGAAAGGCAAATCGACGATAAGGGCTATCTACATGGCTTTAGATCAGATCCTGGAGTCTCGCAACCAAAACAACATCACCATGGCAGTTTGCCTAGACCTTTCTAAAGCTTTCGACAGTGTGGACCACGGACTGCTCTGCCGAAAGCTTGAGAAAATTGGCATATGCAACACTGCACTAAAATTAATAGTATCATACTTATCTAACCGAAAACAATGTGTTGTTGCTCAAAACAAGCAGGGTGAGACAATAAAATCAAATTTTTCAACAATCAAAAAAGGCGTTCCCCAGGGTTCGATTCTCGGCCCTTTACTTTACCTAATTTACACCAATGAGGTTGCTGACATCCTAAATAATGAGGTCGTACTCTTTGCTGATGACACTACAGTCATCTGCTGCGAAAAAACCAAAGAGGCTTGCAAACAAAATGTCCAAGAATCACTTTTGATACTTCAAAATTGGTTCACTGATAATAACCTTCAACTGAATGTAGAAAAGACCCAAATTATAAATTTTAACTTAAGACCTGACAAGACAAACATAGACTACAATGGCACTACACTATCAACTAAAGATAATGTGACATTTCTGGGGATGGTGCTGGATGAAAGACTAGACTGGCATGCTCACATCGACCAACTAGCAAAGAGTATGAGTAGGTACTGCTATGCACTGCGAGTGGTCAGGGACATGGCAGGGTGCTCGGCTGCACTGACAGCTTGCCATGCCTATGTGCAATCGAGAGTGAGGTATGGGGTGATCTTCTGGGGCGGAGTGGCGGAGGCAGAGAGAGTTCTCCTGCTTCAGAAAAGATGCCTGAGAACAATATTCCAGAAAAAAAATACAGACAGCTGTAAAAATCTCTTTGTTGATAATAACTTTCCGACAATTTTTAACTTGTACATTACAGAGAGTATCAAATTTATATCAGAAAATCCAGATATCTTTGACAAACTAAAATCTAATCATTGTCATGGTACTAGATTCAAAGACAATCTTAGAACTGAAACTGCTCACTTTACATACATTCTTAAAAATGTTAAACACAACATTCTCAAAGTCTGGAATGTTTTGCCTCCCTCACTCCGTATGCTACCATCAAGAGTTATCAACGGCAAAATTAAATCATTTCTGAGCTCAAAAGCCTATTACAGTCTGAACGATTTTTTTACTGATCAAGAAGTGAAAGATTTGAGTTAGATTTTTTTTTTTTTAAATTGTTTTCTTTTCTAGCAAAGCATAAAATTTTACTAATTGCCTAGATAAACATAGCACTCCCTGTGCTGACCCTGGAAGTGGTCGGAATGACCAGACTCTAATTATTTGTTCGTGAGGTGTACTTGTTTGTTTTTTTTACTTAAATGTTTTGTTTTTATCTTAGATGTATGTGTTTATTTTTTTTTTTTTTTGTACTAAATGTTTTTTAAGATTTAAGTACAATTTCTTTTTTATTGTGTATTGTAAATAATGACATGATCAACACCCTCTGGGTAAAATGTTCTCTACCAATTTGTAATTGTAATTGTAAACATATAAAGAAATCTATCTATCTAATCTATCTATCTATCAATGCGTTTTTCATTTCACGAATAGGTGTTCTTCTTGGACAACATAGTATCATCCGCATTGCCTTATTTTGTAGCTTTTGCAATCTCTCAATTTCATTTCTCTGGAACAAGTACAAAACTGTGGAACAATAAGTATAATGTGGTAACACCAATGAATTGAAGAGTAAAATCTTTGACCACCGAGTCAAAGAAAAGGCACATCTATACAAGAACGAGAGCTTGAAAGAAATAGTCTTTATAACATAATCAGCATGACATTTAAATTTTAGGTTTTTATCAATTAAGACCCCCAGATATTTATACTTTTCCACAATTTCTAGCTTATTGTTGTCAATTTTTATTTCAATGCCCTTGTTTACAAAGTTCCTATAATACCTGTCTGGTCCCAGTATCATACATTTTGTTTTCAGAATATTGATTTTCAATGAGTTTGTACAACACCACCTATGTATTCTGTCCAGATTTCCATTAATGATATTTCTCATGTTTTCAACATCTGAAGATGGAAAATAACATACTACATCATCAGCAAATAAATGGATCTCAATTCCCTCAACAACTTCAGCAATGTCATTAATATAAACCAGAAACATCAATGGTGCTAAAACGCTTCCTTGTTGAACACCTATTTCGGTCTCTATCAGTTCTGATTCAACTTGATTAACCCTGACTTTCAGCCTTCTCCCAGTTAGATTGCTTTGAAGCAATTCCAGTGCCCCATCCTCAATGCTTACCTTTCTCAGTTTTAAAAGCAGCCTTCTTCTATCCACTGTCTCGAAAGCCCTTTGCAAATCCAGAAAAACAGCACACACCGCCTGATTCCTGTCATTATGTGAACTTGGCATTTAATTAGCACTTAATTAGCACTAATTTTTTCAGTCATAAAATGTTTGCACTGCTGACTTTGCACTGCTAACTTTATATATGTGTACCTTTAAAAGCTTCTGAAAAATACTTCAAGCAATCAGAGGGACTTCAAACTTCAAGGATTTATTGAATAGGGTCTTTTTATCAAACAAAACAAACCGCCGCTAATGGATCTCAGGCTCAGAAATGGAATTATGAATTTTTTCTCACTTAGATGCAAAAAAATAATTTGATTTAAATTTCTATTAAATCACCTTTGGAAGCTTCTGAATAATACTTTAAGCAATCAGAGGGACTTCAAACTTTCAGGATTTATTGAGTAGGGTCTTCTTATCAAACAGAACAAACCGCAAATGGATCTCAGGCTCAGGAACAGAATTATGAATTTTTTTCTCACTTAAATGCAAAAAAATCATGTAAAATTTCTATTAAATCACCTTTGAAAGTTTCTGAAAAATACTTCAAGCAATGAGAGGGACTTGAAACTTTTAGGATTTATTGAATAGGGTCTTTTTATTAAACAAAACAAACCGTGAGTGAATCTCAAGCTCAGGAATAGAATTATGAATCTTTTTCTCACTATTTACCTGCAAAATGTGTCAGTCTATAATTTAGGGACACCCTGTATCCTGGATTGATGGACACTCAGAGTGGATTTTTTTCTGTAACTCACTCAGACATTTACTGGTCCCATTGGAAGTGTCCAAATTGGACCACCCTGTAGGTACATAGGTGTGGGGAATAAATAGACAGAATAATTTTAGTTGGAACACCTTGTAAGGGAATTGGAATTTATTAATCTGATAAGGTTTTATAAATAATAATAGACTTTGCTCTATGTCTATCAATTATTAAGGAATTCCAGGATATTGACATTTCCAATATGTAGTTAGGTATTTTGTAGGGGAATGAAGAACTGCTGATCTTGAGGATAATTATTTAGTATGTACCTACTTATATGACATTTAAGTATTTTGTTGATTTACTTTTCTAGTTTAAACTAAAGCCTCTAGTAGGTACTTCTAAAAATATGAAATTCTGAGTTTATATAATTGGTGTTTAATTTGAATACCTATACATCAGAGTACTTAAAGCAAAATCTTACATGGAGTGCCCAATGTTTATTTAGTTTTTAATCTGCTGACAACACTCGAAAGTGAAATATTACGTTTCCTAAGCTGGTGTCACTGTGTATTCAAATAAAACGTTGTTTTTTTTTGGCACAACAGAGAGAAGGAATACCAAAACATTTTTATCTTTTGATGGGTTTGTTATGTCACTTCTTAATAATAACTTTTGGCTAATACAATTACTGTGTAATGTAGGATAATTTTAAAACAAAAATTCCTTCATAATAATGCCAAGTTTTTAAATTTGGAGCATAAATTCAAAAAATCAATATAAACAACAGAGATCATTGAAATGACCTTAGTCTAGTCCTGCCTGAAAACCTGAAAAGTAATTATGACTTACCCCCTGTTAACACCAAACGATAAACAATCCTCTGCTTCTCTCCTGGTTTTTCCATTCTGATGAAAACTTTTGAGGAACTCCAAAAATAAATAGCAATGAGTAGATAAACTCAAAAGAGGTTATAAAAGTGTAAATGAAAAACTTATCGAAAAGGCAAGAATAAAATGTAATTTTGCGGGAAATAAACTTGCGAAATTGAAATAAATTTATGTAGAATCAAAATAAATAAACGGGGCACATGATCATTTTAAATTAGTCAAGATTTTCCATTGTTTAGAAAAAATTTAAGTTGCGTGGTACCACACAATCGCACGAGAAGCGCCGATACCGCACGCGGCGGACAATAAGAATAAGCTGCTGAGATAAAATTCAATTCTATCACATTTTCTCTCTCAAATAGGAAACAAATACTGGAAAGCTGTTATTTTAATGCGCAACTTACTAAAGCAACGCATTGCGCAATAATATGGTCCTTTTTGGAAGGTTTTCGGCACTGTCCGAACAAACCTTTAGCACATGAGTAGGGGGGTACTAGAATCAATAAGCAGACACTTTTAAATTAGGTAATAAAAATATTACCAATTGACGATATTCATCCTTTTTTTTATAGTTCAATAGAAAGAGATAAATACAGTTGCGTATAATGGCATTCAGTCAGAAGTTCCTGATTTCGCTTATTTCAAGTAATGGTATGTTTTGGCAACATCGCGTTAACAAACGAGCAATTTGAAATAAGAGTCGCGTTCTTTTTACATCTGCGATTGACTCGGAGTAACTCCGAGTGAGTCGCGCTTTTCAATCGTACGTTCAGAAGAGCCGCGTTTTTTACATCTACGAGTGACTTCGAGCAACTCCGAGTTACTTGCACTTATTAAGAGTCACCAACTCCATAGCTTATAGCTATTCGACACTACTAAGGATTGCTTATGGGCCTCGTTTTTGGTAATCGCGGTCATAAAGTGTAGCACTATTGCTGACGTCATTAACTCAGTTGTCAGCTGTTTGCGCGAGCGGTCGTAGTTTAGAATTCAAATTTATGTTGAAAAATATTATTTAATTATGATTAACATAATAGGCAAAGAAGATGCAAACGAGATCTACAAAAAAAAAAAAAAATGAATTGAACGGACCGAAAACCGGATCGGAACCGTTTTTTTTTTTTGCGGACCGGAACCAGAACAAAACCCATATTTCATAGAAATGTTGTAAGGCAGGCAGAACCAGAACCGATATAAATTAATCGGTTCTTGCCGGTATTTTTCGGTTTCAAGAGTTTCAAGATTTCATATATTAGGCTGAAGGATATTAAACTACTATAGGATTGGTTATCGATCTCTGGAATCAAGTTCATTATGATGTTGCACCGTTGCCGACGTCATCAACGATGTCGTAAGTGGTTTGCGCCAGCGGTCGTATAATGAAAAATATAATAATGCACTATAACCAAAGGTGTTTTCTCGTGTCTCAAATGCTTCAAAACGTTTTTCAAAACTGGTTTGAAACGGATGACGTCATAATTTCTCGGCGCGAGAAAATGTTTTAAAAGGTGGATTGGATTGTATTTCGAAACGATTTGAAACAATTTTGATGTGACGTCATGGCTTCATCGCGAGAATCTACTGTTTCAAATCTTATAAGGATAGTAGCAGTAGTAGTAGTGTGTATTATCTTTGAGAAGTAACTCCCAAAAACAACGGGTTTTTTTAAATCCAAGCACTCCATGTTTGATTTTCGTATGGAGTCAAAAGCGCAGCGTGTTATGGCTTCAGGAAGTAGGGAAACTCCTTGAAAATCTCCTAAACTCAAATGAACAATTTGGACAAAAACAATACAATCCACATGCATAGCGAATAGGTCTGTTTGTTTGTGTTGTTCGGAGCAGCACTTCCTATTTTGGGGCATTTGTTTGTGTTTTGGCAATGAACTGACGAGCGTGCGTTTGTGAAGTGCAGTTTGTACTAAACTGTTACAATAGCCGCTTTCCAGCTGACCATTTTGAGCACGCAATCGAGCTTTTGCGCGCGCAAATACTTCAAGCGCGTGTTCGTGTTCCAGCCATACTGAGCTTCGAGAGCTGCTAACTTTTGCGTTTCAAGCACAGAATACTGTGCTGCACCATGCTTGAAGCACACAGCTGGAAAGCGGCTAATGTCACAGTTCTCTCCACTATCCTCATCACTTGATAAAACAAATTCGTTTGTTTGTGTCAAAGTATTTATTGTTCTAAAGCGATATCAGTTGAAATAGTGACGCAAAAAACCTGAAATATCTTGCGTTCAGTTCAAGTTAAAGCCACACAAACAAACAAACCTAAACATGGAGCAATTGAATTCAGAAAAGCGTTCTTTTTGGAAGTTACTCCGAATGACTCCGAACGAATACTGCCAGAGCTGGGTGCTCTTGAAAAGATCGCAAAGAGTTTTACGGCCGCGTCATCTATTGACATATATAGGACTTGACGTTTTCTCCTGTTCTCATTGACAGATTCAGTGCCATCTGGTGGGATATTACCTAATTTACATCTACATGGCAGTTTTCGTTATCCAGGCTGATTATTATTTTATATTAGGTGGCAGAGGTGGCAGAGGTGGCAGCAGTGTGCGCTCAATAGAATGTCAATGTTTTCATTCTTGATGGGATATGTCAGATATGGGCATGGGTCTCTGGGATTCCCAGCGGAGTTTTTGTGCACGAAAGTTTTTGTTTGTATTCACATTCGTTTTTTTCCAATATTTCAATGAGGAGTGGACCATTGATACTAGTAGGTAGGTAGGTATTACTATTTTAATAAGTGGTGGATAGTGGATATTGAATTAGGTTTGTTCTTTGTGCTTTAAAATCTGATTATTATTATTATATACAGTGAGGAGTTATTATGTAAAGTCCGTCGCCCCAGCTTTAACTTTTGAACCGCTCGATTCCAACGAAATTTGGAATGATGATATGTGAGCAAATTCTCCAACAGTCCTTATCTCAGGGTGTATTCTACGGGGCTCAACCTTGAGCATATTATCTTTTAATATTTACATTGCAGACCTTTTTGGAATTGATTACGGAGAATCCGAGGCAACTGGATATGCGGATGCCTTGACTATTTTTTACATCCGCTTTTTCTAACATAATTTTCTATTTATTTCCAAAGATCACATACAGGATATATGAACATATTTACAGATAGAATTTACATTACATGCTAATCAATAACATAACAAGATAAATAATAACACATATAGGTATTTAAAAATAAGCATAAGAATAATTGAAAAATTTATGCCTAGAATTTTTATGAAGTATTCATATATTCCACTGCATAAAGTTTAGAAAGTCCTCCACTGTATAACCGTGAAGAAACTGAAGAAAAACAATGAGAAAATCTAATGGCCATTAATACATTTGATCCATACGAGCTTGGGGGCGGTAGACATTTTTCCTATACTGAATAGAACTGAAACATGTATGGATTAACATTTCAGCTTTATATGGGACAATTACTTCTTCGGCTTATCGGATTAGCTACAAATTGCCAATAATCACTGTGAAGTTGGTAATATTTTTTTCAACATTGTTAACTTTTTGCCAAACAAACAAATTTCAGCTAAAAAAACGGCAACAGAAATAAGTAGCCCGCCAATCCAAATTACAAAGACAAAAGAAAATTTACTCATTCCAATTTTTTTGGCTTCAAAAACTAGAGGACTGGTTGCTCTCTTTATGCTTATTCGCATTTCTTCGTACGCATGAACAAACCATCCGCTCGCAGTCATCCTGATTAATATTTGATTCACTTGTTCAAATAATGGATACCCTTTTGCAAAAATGAGGTGGACTGAAAAAGACTTGACATTGTCTCTACTGACCGTTACTAGTACTTCACCATTATCTGTTATGTAATATTTGGGTATCCAATTGTACCTCACGATTGTTTTTGGGGCTGTTGTAATAGTATTTCTTTTGAATGCCGTTTCGTTAACACATGCAAGTACTGAATCACAAGGCTTGATTTTATTAAAATCAATTTGAAGCTCCTTTTTATTATCAAGGTCCGTATAGAGCTCTGACAAATTTATGTATGAACTCAGCTTTAGTTCTGAAGTTGACAAAATATTTTTCATAAAAAGTAATTGCGGTAGTCGTTTTTCAGTTCCTAAGATCACTAGCAAAGAGTTTTTGAACAGCGTACTGATCACTAAAAATGCAATCATCCACGAAGAAAACATTATCTTGAACGAATGTCTACTTTTGTTAATTTGAAGATATGTTTTGGAAATAGACTGTTCCAATAGAATCTGATGTATCAATAAAGCAAGCTCAAAAATTTTCACATTTTTGTGTACGGTACGAGCAATTAAGATCCACAACAAAACTAAAACAATTAGACATATTAAAGATTTTGTTGAAAAAATCTTCGATATTCTATTCCAGTGGCTTATTATCGGAGGATTAGGGGAAATCCAAGCGACTGCATCGAAATAAAGCCAAGCGCTTATTTCAAAATTTTTCAAAGTCGTTTCATTGGGAGTATTGAAACCAGTAAGAACGTCAGCACTCTTTTGTTGCAACATTTTGGCACCTTTGGTGCTAAGAGGTACCTAAAACAAAACTAAGAATATGATTTCTAATTAAATATTTAGTCTATTAGTCTATTTACCCAACAGTATTGATTGTGATTACAATTATTACCAAGTTTACAATTTTTTTTTTTGCTCTGAAGTGTTCAATATGAGAAAAATCTGTTTCCTCAAATAATGTTCTAGTGATTTTTTATAGAAACGATATTCGAAAATTTGCTTTTGAAGAGATGAGTTTTTTAAAAATAACAGCCACTACACAATTAAATGATCATGCGAGAATTTGGATAAAATATGGAAGTTCGGAAGTTGGTGTGTATGTATCCACTTAAATATAGGATTAAAGCAAAAAGAGAGGCAGAGAACTAGAGCATATCTACCAAAGACTATTAGTTATTGAGAAATACGGAAATAAGAGAAGTTGAAAAAAGATGAGTCATAAAAAAATAATACTAACATAAGTAAGTGGGTTAGAAAAAGAAAACAAATAAGTGATAATTCATAAACAAAATACATATAACAGGCAAAAGTAGAGAAAAAATGCTTGAAAGAAGGTAGTGGAGAACAAAAAATAAAACAAATTGTGTGGAAAAGCTAAATAATGGTAAAATTAAAAGAGGATTCAGCTGAACAAAAAATATCAGCAGAAATTATGGACACACATGAGTAACAACTAAAAAAAAATTGTATAAAGCTTCCACTAAGGTAAATGCACCAGTTATTGACAGTGTTCCAGTAATTGACACGTTAAGGCAAATGTTATCAAAAC